AAGACAAGCAAAGTCAAAGAAGTCACAAAACTGCTCTTAGCTGTGATAGTCAAAAGCACTGTTTGGGGGACTTTTTCTTTCAGAAGTTAATTATTCTCATGCTTAGAATTTATTTCTTCATAGGACACAAGCCAAAGGACAAAAGCCCAAAGGTGGGCTGTTCCAGAAGCCAAGGCTCCTGCAGAGGCCACACTGGGGTCAGAATCAATGGCACTACCTTGGGCAGGGAACCAGCAGAATGCTATTTCTGAAACATAAAGGTTCAGAACACCCTGTGCTGCAATTAATAAATAGCATTGTTGGTAGACAGGAACAAAGCCTGCCTTCACTTCTTGATTTGGTGGCCCGTTTGGTGAAGCACTTAGGAACAGGCTCAGCCAACATACACACATAATGGCTTTAATTACATCCTGTGAATTTATTTTTCCAGAGAGAAATATTTCTGAGGGGAAATGTCCATAAAAGCAGCTTTAGCAGAGTGTGATTGTGTGTGTGTTTCCTATAGGAAATCTGTTTAGTTTAAATCCCAGCTCGAGGGCACAAAGACCAGAGCAAGCCTGCTGACAGCCCATAGCAGGTGGTGTGGTGGTCTGGGGCTGCCCTGCCCTTTGCCCTCTGAGATCTAGACTTGGTTCTGCACCCAGTAATTCTGATTTGTTCTTAGGGGAATGAAGGGGCAATGTTTTTATGGCTGCATGCTGGGCACTGTCCTCCTCCAAACCGAGACCTCTTCTGTTAGTAGACAAGGACAGGTTTGAGATGGAGTCCCATTTTCTTAGTTTTACATGGAGTCACAGCATCAACTATTGTCCAGCGACCCATAACCACTGAAACCCCCTGAAGGCTGGCTACCTCCCAAACTGTTGTTCTATAGTAACCTTTGACCTATCAATGTGACATTAACATTATATTAATATATCAACATTAGTATTAAGTTATATTAACATGTCTTCTTTGTATGCCACTTTTCTTCTGTTACATAACCAATACCAACACCGCAATGGCTATGAACCATTCTTTCTAATGTCTTGTATCTTTGGTTCTCCAGGTTCTGGGATGGGCCTAACATCCAACTCACTCAATCCAGACAGACAGATGCTGAACCTGAGTGCATGGAGGGAATTCTTAAAACAAAATGAAGTTGCCTCCAGTTCCCTCAGTCACAGTATATACCTACTTTTGAGGGCTGAGGAGACGGCTCCGTGGGTAGGGTGCCTGCTGTACAGGCATGAAGAGCTGAGTTTAGGTCTCCAGCACCCACAAAAAAAGCCAGGCACAGCCACACAGAACGGCGACCTCAGTGCTGGGGAACGGGAAGGGGCAAAGACAGGAGAATCACACCTTGGTGGCCAGCCAGCCAGCCTAGCTGGAAAAGAAAAAAAGATGAGTTCCAGGTTCTGTGAGACTCTGTCTTAAGAGGTATGGAACACCCAACATCCTTCTCTGGTCTCTGCAAACAGGCAGAGGCACATGTACACACATGTATATACCACATAGGCACGCATACCACACATAAGTAAATGACTGTGTTCATGTCCTTACAAGAATATAAAATTACTATAAAATTGTGGCCTTGGTAGATATATACACTCCTTGTCTTCCCCTTTACTATATGTTTACATTTTTTAGATGTATTTTATGTGTATGAGTGTTTTCCTATATGCATGTATACAAGTGTGTGCCCAAGGAGTTCAGAAGAAGAGCATAGAGCCCCTGGAACAGATGCTTGTGAATCACCCAAGTCCTCTGCAGGAAAGGCAGATGTTCTTAACCATAGCCATCTTTCCAGCCCTTGTCACTGACCACTGAGCCATCTCTCCAGCCCTTGTCATGAGTTCAATGCTTCAATTATCTATACAAAATTTGCTCTTTCTGACACAGAGTACTTCTTATGTCACAGTGGGAGAAAAAAATCAAGATACAGTAAGAAAAGAGATATCCTGAAGCTATGATTTAGTTTCCTGAATTAGGTAGCTGACTGGTCCTAGGAATGGGAACTGCTAGAATGCAGTTTACAGCGTAAAAAGAACTTCTTAACCTCTGTGGTAATACTTGTTTTCAATAAACAGGGAGCAAAGCCCTCTGTTAGGGGCTGTCATATCACATTAGAGACAGATTGGGCACACACACAACAGGCCAGAGGACAGACAGGGCAGTAATCACAAACCACAGACAGAGGAAGGCACAAGGAGGCAGTGGAGAATTCGAGTTTGGGCTCAATCCTGGCCAAGAAAGTAGCAAACAAGCAGGGTCCAGAGGTGAGTAGAGCCACACCCATTCTTTCTCTGCCACACCCATTCTTTCTCCAAGCTTCCTTGCTCTGTAGACTTTGTAACCTTCTTATGGCTAAGGAGTCCGAGTATTTAAATGGCAAGATGGATGCCTTGGTGGATTTAAAAATAAAAATAAGGGATAAAGAGGCCTTGAGTTTTACAGGGAGAGCTCTCTTGAGGGGAGCCTGCTGCAGCGAGCTCTATGTGAGTGCTCTCATGGGCTGGGAAGCAGCAGCTGTAAGGCTCCTGAAGAAATGCTCCTGTGACAGCAGTGCAGGCTTCAGGGCCTATGTTGGGGGGGTTTATAGGAAGTTTCAAAATTACTTGGACCAGCGTAATGCTTAAACCCCATAGCTTAAGCATTTTTCTGTTTGCTTGGTTGGCTTATTTGTGCACATCAAAAACAGTGAACTTGGCTGGTCCGGGCAGTTTGGGAGGCCAAGTTAGTTGGGCTCAGAGTCCTTTGCCGACACTGACTAGATGCCTGCCTGCAGAACTCTGGCACTGAGTCACAGGAGGGAAGGCGCCTCTGTTCTCAGGAGTTTACTAAGTGCTGTACAGCTGATCACTGAAAGGACAAAGGAGTGACTATCAAAATGTCAAGTCTGAGAGCTCGCCCTGAGCTTCTTTACACCACGTGTCTGGGTGTGTGTGATGCAGGCACACATGAGGAAGTCAACACCACCTTGGCTCTCAGTCCTCACCTTCCACCCAATCTGAGGCAGGCTCGTGTTGTGTGCTACGGCACAGACTAAGCTAGCTGGTCCAGTTCCTGGGGGTTCTCCTGTCTCTGCCTCCCATCTTGCTGTAGCAGCTCTGTGACTGCATATGAGTGTGTGCTACCACATCTGGTTGTTTTATGTGTGTTCTGGGGATTCCCACTCAGATGCTCACACTTGCACAGTGAACATTTTACCTACTGGGCCCTCTCTCTCATACACGCACTCTGCCCCCCAACCCGCCCACCACGACACATTTCTTCTAAGCACAGATTAATGTCAGCTGAATCCTTACGGTCAAATCCTTAAAGTGTGACTCCACATCGCTAGGAAACTTATAAACCACAGCCAGGAGACAACTAGGGGAAACTTATAAACCACAGCCAGGAGACAACTAGGAATCCAGCTTCTGTACGCTCTCAAAATATCAAAGAAGATCAGGGCTTAATTTGTATATCCCAAGATGCTGAGACAGGCACATGTACAGCCCTTCAGAAACTTCACAATCTTTAACCTCTGGCAAAGGATGGGCAGGCTCATGAGATGTCAATTACTACAAGAGAAGCAACATGTCACAGTATGAGCAAAAAGCAATTTCCCCTGTATGCATCTGAAAAATTAAAAATCCAAAAGCTTACTTTTTTTCCATATCAACTAAATTTGACAGTCCATACACTTATAGGAAAAATAGGTGATTATTTTAATGATTTATGTATAAAAGAAAAATAAAACTTTATGATACAATCTGATAGACTACAGCATATAAAATTTTACTCACATACAATGTATGTAATTTTCTCAACATAAAAATTCTATTCATATATACAAATTCATAAAAGGATATATATACACATATGTATATATATATTAACTTGGTATATGTGGGGTCCACTTAGGGCTATGGCTAAGTCATTTAATTTAGTGGAAAACAGATCATGAACATACAAAAGGCTGGTTGACAAGAATCCTTCCCTCCCCCTAAACTAGTTAGAAGCATCTCTTTGGCAGGGTGGTGTGGTGTGCTTCAGACAGCAGAGACTAAGGGGCTGAAGGGCATCTCCACACTGTCCAGGCCCCCAGTTGAGAACTGGGTTGCTGCCTTCAACTGACTGAAAAACCCTGGCTGTGCCACATATGCTAAGCCTTTAGGCACAAAAAGGTGCTAAGGTAGTCTCCACACATCCCAGGGTTCGACGTAGTGTATATAAGTACCCAGAAATGTAAGGACCACCTCAGACCTTATGCCAATAAGAACATCTCCAAATACAGTGAGATCCTTTAGACAATAATTCAAGACCTTAATGCATATTTACAGTAGGTGAAAACTGAATATAAACCATTTTTTAAAAAACAACTTTGCTTATAAAAGGATCTTTAAAAAAGGAAAACAAACACAAATTGTAAATTGGTGTACTCTCTTCCTCTCAGTGCTCCTCACTCCCCACTCCAGGACCATGCCTTCATGCGACAATGTCCTCTTAAGGAGGCCTGGCGGACTGCTTATCCATCAGGAGTAAGCTGGAGGCTGTTAGAGGCTGCAGAAAGCAGCGCAGGTTCCCATTACACAGTACCCATAAAGGCTGGGCTAAATTCTTCTCAGCCTATGAGATTCAAGGGCTAGAAATGCAGACAGCAGGGCCACAGGGAGGCTGCAGAAAGTGCCTGTGCAGTAAGAGAGCAGCAACTCCACCCAGGTGACAGGCACCTTACAAGGACACGGGCTGACATGACACCCTTCAGGTAGAAATGAAAATGGCAATTTAACCACTTCAGGCCTCATTCTATTTATAAAATACCCACCAAAAATACACAGTTGTCCTTTGCTTGGTGCCAGTATGAAGTCCTGGGAGACTCAAAAGCAGAAATAAAGTCCTGCTGTTTTCCCAGTAGGATGAGACAACTTACCTGCCAGAACACTAGGGTACAGGGTCAAACAGGCTGCAGCAGAAAATGTATTTGCCATAAAAATAAAGAACTAAGCCATCCCACAAAGGCAAGCTGGAGGCTATTTATAAGTAGTGAGTACCGCAGCCTTTTAATAAGTTTAGTGCCTAAACCAAAAGCTCTGACCTGACTGGGTCAGGGCACAGCAGGCCATTTTCTCAGCAGTCTGGGGCTTAGTGGAGCGGTTCCTGCCCCTTGTCCATCATGAGGAAGGTGGCTCCATCTCTGCAGGGCTGGCCATTCACCTTCGTGATGACAGGTTGATACTATGCACCATTTTCTGGATCTTCTCCTCATTCTTCAGGATGTTGGCCTTCACTGCACAGATCTTGTCCTGCTGGTCTCTGATCTGTTGCTCTAGCTCAGACAGCTCAGCCTTCAGGGGCTCCACCGCACTGTCTGTGATGCTGGGGGAAGACAACCAGTGTCTCATCAGTTCTGTCTGTGCCTCTCACTCCAGCCCAAAGCCAGCATCAGCAAAGGACTGACTTCATTCCAAGAGAAAGGTTTAAGTGTCAGACCCCTAGAAATGGTACAACAGGCACGACTCACAGCTGGCAGGTCTAGACCATAATCCAGCCTGAGGTACTAATTCCTTTACTTCCTACAGAAGCAGGGACAGAACCCAGGGCTTCCCATGATAGGCAGGCACTCTACCAGAGCTGTTTCCCTAGCCCATGTGAGATTTACCTTAAAAAGCAAAGTGAAAAGGAGCTAGTATCTCCTCAGTGACAGGCTTAAAGTCCTTAAAGTACATACACAAAAGAGACCCAGGAGCAGCAAGGAAACGGACTGCCAAGGTCCCACAGACACTGGATACAGCCTAGACCAGCGCCTCCTTGCCAGGAGACACCCTCCTCTGCGTAAGGCTCACAGGGCTTAGACGGACTCCCTTGGCCAGGTCCCGGCTCATTTGTTCTCTTCACTGCTGGACTGAGCACTGGACCCAGCACAGAATATACTTCAAAATGGTGGAGTCGAACATTACCTCTCCCTTCAGGCTTTTAAAGCTTATAAATAGACCATTACTACAACACAAAGAGCCAGTTCCCACTCCAAAACACACACACACACACACACACACACACACACACACTTCGTTGCATGAGAGCAGGAGCAGGTTTACAAGGGAGGTATCTCAGGCTAACTCAGTACATGCTGCATCAGTATCAGAATTATTGATGATTTCTTACATTCCATCATGTGGCATATTTTAAAATGTACAGGGCTGCCAGGCGGTGGTGGCGCACACCTTTAATCCCAGCACTTGGGAGGCAGAGGCAGGCGGATTTCTGAGTTCGAGAGTTCGAGGCCAGCCTGGTCTACAGAGTGAGTCCAGGACAGCCAGGGCTACACAGAAAAACCCTGTCTCAAAAAACCAAACCAAAAAAAAAAAGTACAGGGCTTTTTAATATGAAAGACTAGTAAGAAAGAGCCCCCAACTAGTTGTCCAATAAAAAAATTGGTCCATCCTAAAACCATATACACACAACAAAAGCGGACTTAGGAGGTGCATTTATATATTTATATTTTTGTGCATACACATAAATATACGTACATGTGTGTAAGAATGATAATAAAAAAGATGCTATCAACTTGAGGGGTTGGAGGGAGGAAGAGTAACAGGAAAAGGGATTTAATTCTACTATAAAATTATTTTGAAAAACTGGAAAAAAAAAAGTGTAATTTCAGCTGGGTACGCTGGTACACGCCTTTAATCACACTGCTCACAAGAGAGTTGATCTCTGTGAGGTCAAGGCCAATCTGCTCTACAAAGTGAATACCAGGCTAGCCAGGCTAAACTTGGAGATCTTGTCTCAAAAAACAAAACATCAAAAGGAAGGGAGGGAGGGAAGAGAGAAGGGAAGAGTAGACCCAACTATAACTCAGCTCTTCTGTAACATGGGCTTACAGATACATCGTTCAGTCAAATCACATGTTCTGAAGAAAAAAAGCCTACAAATTAAAAGTCACATGCTTCTACAAACACATGGTACTTCTCTAATAATCCTGTCTCCAGGGTCTATTCTATTCCTTTCCGTTACAGTTCATCAGTATCTCATTCAGGTCCCCCACCCCTCCCTTTCTGAATCCCCAGCCCTCCCAACCCCCCTTCCACAGCCCCCACCTCTGCTCCTTGCTCAGGGCTTCAGCATGCTGCCTGTTCTCACTGTGCCACAGCTGCAGCTCATTCTGCATGGCATCGACATCCTCCTGGATGTAGTCCATGATCTTTCCCAGGGGAAGTGCACTCTTACACAGGGTCTGGATGGACACGCGGAGTTTCTCTATCTCCTTGGAAACGATGTCCTTCTCCTTCTTCCATGCTGACTCAAAGATCAGTGATCTCTCCTTTGGATATGGCAGAGAGGACCAACTAGACAAGTTAGAGACAGCACCCCAAGCAGGTCCCACGGAAGGGAAACTTAATGAACTTATCAGAAATGACAATGTTTACTCTGCAGAGCCCTTCGAAAGGAGCTGAGATGACAAAGGAAATATTGGCAAATCATACACTGCATAAAGACATGTGCAGTAAACAGAATTCAGAGAGAACACGAAAGCTCAGTAGCAGCAAGCAGACAAACCAGAAGAGGGACAAGAGACACAGAGACACGTCACTGAAGGTGACATTCTGATGGCAGTGAGCTCGTAGAAGTGTGTCCAAGAGCACCAGCGGCCCTAAGTACAATTTAGACAGCAACACCTGGTACCAGGCAGGAGAAACCAGGTCGACAGTAATCGCTGGTGAGACAGTTTGGGATATCTTTAAAGACTATTTGAGGATGTCTTTAAAGAGGATCTCAGTGCTATAGCTTAAGTCTAAAAACATCTGCTGAAGGCTTCAATGACTGGGTAACCAAGGTTCTCACCTCATCCTCCCGAACTTCCCAGCTGAAGGACTGTTTACAATGTGGGCCTAACTGGAGAGGAAGCCTCATCTCTCGGTCACTGGGAGCTGCCTTTGAGGGTGCACCTGCCCGACCTCTGCTCCTCAGCTGCATGGGTTAGCAGCTGTGTTCTGCTGTCAATACACCCTCGCCACCATGATGCTCGGCCTCACCAAAGCCCAGAGCAACAGAGTTGACTAAGCACGAATAGAAACACCATAAGCTGTGAGCCAAAACACAACTTTTTCCCTTCAAGCTGTTTTCCTTAGGTTTTCTGTCACAGTGACAGAAAACTGACTAACGCACACACAATCCAGCAAATGAGCATTCAAGCATTTACTTAGAAAAAAATTGAAACTTACATTCACACAAAAATCTACACATAACTGTTGAGATCTTATTCAAACTAGTCACAAGCTATATGTGATGGCATATGCTTCGTAACTCTAACACCTGGCAGGCAGAATCAGGAGGATCAGAAGTTAAAGATTACCCTCAACTACAGACCCAGTTGGAGGCCCACTTGACATCTGTCTCAATAGAAATAAAAATAAAGGAAAAGGTATCAAAATAGCCACAAGCTAGAATTAACCTAGACATGTCAAATAAACTGAGGTATCTGTATACCATGGAAGACTACTCAGTACCAAACACAGAATCACCTGGACAACAGAAGTACAGAAGTAGCACACTAGTGATGACCGGGAGCAAAAGGTAGGAGAAAGAGGCTATGTTTAAAAGGGGGAACTGGGAAGGATCTGATGATAGGAACATTCTGGATCTTAACTATACTAGTGTCAATAACTCTAGTGTAGAGGTTACCCCCAGAGGCAATCGAGGAAGGGTTTCAAGCACATCTCCAGTGCTTCTCCACAGCTCAGAGGGATCCACAATTACCTCAAAATAAAATGCTTTTGTTAAACATGGAAAAGCTAGGCATAATAGTGTCTTATCCAGAGTTAGAAATGGAGACAAGCAGGTGGGGTTTCCCACATGTAGTCACAGCACCACTACCTAGAAGAAAGCAGAGTGCCGAGCATGATACACACTACCAAGATGTTGGGGTGACATAGCAAACTGGGGCCTGCACAGTGGCCTGAAGCAGGGTTCCAGAGGGAGAACAGAATGTTTGTAGGGTCTCCAGAAGAAACACACCACAGACTGCTTGAGCCCAGGGAGGGATGAGGGCCGGGAAGCAGGGAGTGTCATCGGTGGGACACAGGAAACACAATAAGGACTTTGGTTTGATCCTGACCTATAACAGCAACAGAAGGCATGTAAGCATCAACGACAGCGACTTACATCTGCATTTAAAAGTCATTCAGCTCAGACTTGAGCATAGAGGTCTTAGTGACCATTTCCCATAATGCAATGGGAAGGAAGAGGAATGAGTATAAAGCACATGTCGGTCTTTGGTTGGTAGGTCCATATTTTGTTTTGTTCTGAGATGAGGTCTCAACTGGCCTCAAACTTGCTTATGTACCCAAGGGTGACCTTGAACTCCCAATCCTTGTGTTTCCACCTCCTGAGTGCTGGGTCAACAGGAGTGCACCCAGCATAGCTTAGGAGAATTTGGTCATGATTTTTTAAGTAGAAGTCTTTCACTGCATCATTGAAACTGCACAGACCAGTCTCACACTCTGGGATCCTGTTTCAGCAACTGGATCTCACAGGCAGCCTCTGTGCCAGTCCTCAGAGACACAGGTACCATCCACTCCCGCCCCCGCCCACACAACCTTGCTTTTTAACTACTACGACTTGTGAATGAAACAATGTCAGTATCACTTTCAAGAGGCACCAACTGAGCTCTCCCTGCCGTGGACATACAACCCACTGCAGCTGTGCTCACCTGAGCCCTGCACATGCATTATTTTTGAGGCCCATTCCCCGCCCCTGAATGACTACGCTGACAAGGAAAGAACGCACAGGTCACACACACTAAGACCATGTTCTGCACTTAAGAACAAAAAGTTATCACCTTAAAAAACAACCTCAAATTCCCTCAAACTAACAGACCTCCTCTTTAAGCTTTTGTGAAGGAAACAAATCGCAACAACAACAACAACTACTACTATTACTACTATATTATCATTGCTATTAAGGAAATTGAGGAAACAGCAATAAGTATGTCCCCTCTGCCCCCTCCCCAGGGAATGTGAATAGAAAAATGTTTCTAAGTAATCAACTCAAAGAATATAAGAACCACAGATAAACTGAGCCAAAACTAAACTAAAACCAAACAAAATAAAAACAAAACCAACAACAAGAACAAAATAAAAAACAAAACAACTTGTGTCTGGGACTGAGCATCATCAGAAGACCATGCTCTAGAGTGTTCCCTGAGAGTTGAGACATGGCTGGTGACACCACACCACCTAGCGGCCAAGTAAGAATCTGTGGAGCAACCCCCATCACCAAAGAAACCAAAATACCTCTCAATAGGGTAAACAGGACTCACTGCAGACTATTTGCCTTAATTAAAACATGAGAAGACTATGTATGTCATTAAGAGGCGTTTGAAGATACAGCAGGTGGAAAGTAACTGAGGAAATAAAGAAATAAACAAAGGAAACTAATACAATCTGAATGGAAATTACCAGGCTTTCGCTTAGTTTTATACTGTTTATTTTGTTATTTGTTTTGTTGTTGTTGTTTATTTGCTTGTTATTTTTTAACAAGCTCTCACTGTGTAGCCCTGGCTGCTCCAGAATTCACTCTCTAGATCAAGCTGGCCTTCAATTCACAGAGATCTTGGCTAAGCTACCAGACTTTTCAGACTTACAAGGAATAAATGTAGAAAATACAATCTCCCTGCAGGGGCTGCAAGTATCAGCCCAAGACTCAGGAACAGCAGAGACAGCACAGAGAATGGGGGAAGAGGGAAGAAGAGTGCTGGAATGGCATTTCTAGACATACACAAACACAATTGCTTAAAGCAAGGAAATACACAACGGTGTCCACAATCAGACAGCTGAGGGTGAGGCAGATGGCTTCAGGTATGAGAAAGAACAACATGACCGCCTTACAGCAGGTACAACTGACATCAGACACACTGTGCTGTGTGCAGAAAAAGCTAAAGTCTGTATCATAAAAGAGGATTTTTAAAACAACTTTTAAAATTAAAAATAGGACTTCCTTAGGATTAAAAAAGAAAAGTCAGGCAAGTGACAGACGGCAAAGATATTTACAGAATAAGATACAAGGCTTGATCCCAAGATATATATCATGTATGCAACCTCAATATAGACAAACATTGTATACAGTATATACATTGTATCCTAGAAAGCACAACCAATAACAAGACACAAAAGGAAAGGGTGATACCAGGCAACCACACCAGCAAGCTCAAACCCAAAAGCTCTGAGGAGGGAAAGGTTGTTCCCAAACATACCATCCAATAGTCACTTCTCCATCACTGTGACAAAACGCCAGGACCAGGAAGGTAATTTATTTGGGCTTAAAGGTCCAGGGTTAGCACCCATGATGTTGTGAAGGCACGGCAGCAGGAGGAGGAAGCCGCCTTCACATCTTGAACCACCAAGCAGGAAGCAAAACCAGCAAACTACCAATGGTGTCTTTTAAACTCCCAATGCTTGGCTCCAATAACATACTTCCTCTGACAAACACACACCTCCTAAACCTCCCACAAACAGTGCCAACAACTGAGGACCAAGTGCTCAAATGTCATATCTGACAAGGGACATTCTCACTGAAACCACCACAGCCACTAAAAGTCATTCACTATGTTTCAATGTTCCATCCTCCTACTGAGTATGACTTAGCCCTTCTTTTGTAGAAGTCTCATGTGTTTGTTTCTGGCTGATGGCAGACAGGACCTACATCATAACAGGTTTTTTTTTGTTTGTTTGGTTTTTGTTTGTTTGTTTGTTTGTTTTTGTGGGTTTTTTTGTATCAGTAAGAAAGGCCCTAAGAGCAAGACACACAGAACTCACAATAAGATTCAGGCCTACAAACTCCCAGGGTCAACAGTCAGCCTGTCCATTCTGCACAGCAGCTACTGCAACAGCCGCTGCCCACACGGCACCTGGGTAGCCGGGAGCAGGACCCACGGACAGAGCTGCAAGCTCTCTACACCTCAGCTATGAAGGGGAACGGCACTGAAGCATCTGAACAGAGTTGCTGATTTTAAATCAATGAACACTTTAACATCTAAAGGATTTTTCAAACAACCATGTCAGGCCTGCTCCTTACCTTCTCACCAGGCTTGGAAGACTGCTGCAATTTCTCATAATCCTTCTTTGTCTCCAAGATCTTTTTCACAAGCCCACCTGTTAAAAATCAGTAGGTTTCAGCTAAGGCTTATTATCTGCCCCAAGAAGCTACTCATTACTCTTGGATCTCATCTCAAGATGAGAGAAATTCTGAATTCTCAGCCTTTTTCTCTTTCTATATCAAAATGCCTTCCTCTTGATGATAAGACAAACCATAGTGCCACCTGCTGCTGGCAGAGGCTTGTCTCAGTGTCACGGATAGGAGTTTTTCAAATAAACAGGTTTTCTGCTAAAAAGAAATGTGGATTAACACCCCAGAATGTAAGTACTAACAGCACGGAGCGATTATACTGGTTTCACAGTGCTGATGCCTCTTTTAGATTGGGCAAGAATACTACATTTCTTTTAGAATTCTCCATAGTGTAAATAGCTTATAAAAAATCATTTTCTTAAAAATACAATGCTTTATAATGCTATGTAGGCTGTTGGGGGTGGCGTTATCAAAAGTGTGACCAAGCTGTGAGCTACAACAATGACCAGTGTAGCATGATGCACCCAGGGGTGTTACAGTGACACCAATGTTATACAGGCAATCAGCCACTTTCTGATTTAATTTGAGACCATTCCACAGAAAGAAAGTCAAACATAGTACTGTACATCTGACCCCAGAATTTATGTTTGGGGAGCCCACCAGCCCCAGGAGCAAACTTCTACGAAATGGACACAGCATCAAACTACCTCCTACATCTGCATCCCAGTATACACAGGTTAGTGCTGCCCTAAGATCTCAACAGACAAGAGTCTTTGTTCAGCCACAAGTGAGACATCTACACTGCACCCCTCACCTGCCCTCCAAGGCTTAGGACCGTTAGGAGAAGAGGGGTGAAAACAACTGTAAAATAGGGAGGAATGGAGAGACAGTGTCAGAATGTCAGTCAGCATAACACTAACATGAGCTGCCCTCGTTCATGAGCCCTCACCCATAACTAAGGAGCTGTGGACAGTCGATGGCTTTGGAGGAAGGACAGACACATTTCTTAAGGGTACGGCTCATGCTAGGTGAATCATGCCCCAGAGGATGGCCCTAGTCTATACCCAGGAGGATATAGGCAGCACAACTGAAGTGGATAGGTCTTTTGTTTTTAAAAAAAGATGCAAAATTGAAAAGAAGTGAAGAGAAAGTGGGTGGATCTGGGAGGTGCAAAGGAAGAGGAGTAGGAGGGGATAAATGCGATCAAAATATATTCATGAAATTCTCAAAGAATAAAATTTTATACTTAAAAGTGTCCTCTACACAAACATGCCTCAAGGAGACTGAGTGAATTAATTATAACATAGTTACATGGTGTACAACATGATACTATGAAGAGAGGCCAAGACTGCCTCTGTGCTGGAATGTAAGCCAGCAGACTATCAAATTCACACACACACACACACACACACACATTTCTTTTTCAGAGCTGAGGAACGAACCCAGGGCCTTGTGCTTGCTATGCAAGTGCTCTACCACTGAGCTAAATCCCCAACCCCACACACACACATTTTAAATGGAATCATTACCCATATATCTGCCTGCACTATCAGAGAGAGGAATATAGAATTTAGGGAGAAAGAACAAGGGAGAAGTCTCATACCTCAGTACTGGGTGGGGTGGTGTACACATATAATCTCAACATTCATAAGACAGAAGCAAGAGAATGGTCAAAAGGGGACTCCACAGTGAAGTCTAGGCCAGCCAGAGCCACACAATGGGACCCTGCCTCAAACAACAAAACAAAGCAAAGCTACCTCTTAATGTAGCTGGCTGTGTACATTTAACCTTAAAGCTACAGGAATATTTACATGAATAAAAACCAAAACTGAGCCCTCTCTTGGTCCTTTTGGCTGGGGCAGACACCTAGCAGGTCTGCTCCCATGAAGACACCATATCCTGAACCTTCCTAGAGCCACTGCACTCGGAGCAGCTGAGGAACCACTGCACTCGGAGCAACAGGATTTCAGGATCCCAGAGGCAGCCTGAGTCCCAGGAGCTCTTCCACCCAGGACCTCAGGATCACAGGATCACAAGATCACAGAGACAACTGGACTCTGAGGAGTTTTGACACAAGCAAGATAACTGGAAAGACAGGCTCCAGTCAGAGACAGTGAGTGCAGGTAGCACTAGAGTTAACCAGATGGCGAAAGGCAAATGCAAGAATATAAGCAACAGAAACCAAAGTTACCTGGCATTATCAGAACCCAGTTCTCCCACCATAGCAAGTCCTGGACACCCTATCACACTGGAAAAGCAGGATTCAGATTTAAAATCACTTCTCATGAGGATGATAGAGGACTTTAAGAAGGACATAAACTCCCTTAAAGAAATACAGGAGAACACAGGTAAACAGGTAGAAAGAAGCCCTTAAAGAAGAAACACAAAAATTCCTTAAAGAACTGTAAGAAAACACAACCAAAGAGGTGAAGGAATTAAACAAAACAATCCAGGATCTACAAATGGAAGAACAAACAATAAAGAAATCTCAAATGGAGACTACCCTGGAGATAGAAAACCTAGGAAAGAAATCAGGAGTCATAGATCCAAGCATCATCAACAGAATACAAGAGATAGAAGAGAGAATCTCATGTGTAGAAGATACCATGGAAAACATTGACACAACTGTCAAAGAAAATGCAAAATGCAAAAAGCTTCTATCTAACCCAAAACATCCAGGAAATCCAGGACACAATGAGAAGACCAAACCAAAGGATAATAGGTATAGATGAGAGTGAAGATTCCCAACTTAAAGGGCCAGTAAATATCTTCAACAAAATTATAGAGGAAAACTTTCCTAACCTAAAGAGACGCCGATGAACATACACAAAGCCTACAGAACTCCACATAGACTAGACCAGAAAAGAAATTCCTCCTGTCACATAATAATCAAAACATCAAATGCACAAAACAAAGAAAAAATACTAAAAGCAGTAAGAGAAAAAAGTCAAGTAATATATAAAGGCAGACTTATAAGAATTACACCAGACTTCTCACCAGAGACTATAAACGCCAGAAGCTCCTGGACAGATATTATACAGACCCTAAGAGAACACAAATGCCAGCCCAGACTACTACACCCAGCAAAACTCTCAATCACTATAGATGGAGAAACCAAGATATTCAATGACAAAACCAAATTTACACAATATCTTCCCACAAATCCAGCCCTACAAAGGATAATAGATGGAAAACTCCAACACAAGGAAAGAAACTACAACATAGAAAAAGCAAGAAAGTTATCTTCCAACAACCCCGAAAGAGGATAACTACACAGGCCGGGCAGTGGTGGCGCATGCCTTTAGTCCCAGCACTTGGGAGGCAGAGGCAGGTGGATTTCTGAGGCCAGCCTGGTCTACAGAGTGAGTTCCAGGACAGCCAGGGCTACTCAGAGAAACCCTGTCTCGAAAAACCAAAAAAAAAAAAAAAAGAAGAAGAAGAAGAAGAAGATAGCTACACAAACATAATTACACCTTTAATAACTAAAATAACAGGAAGAAACAATCACTTTTCCTTAATATCTCTTAACATCAATGGACTCAATTCCCCAATAAAAAGACACAGACTATCAGACTGGATATGTAAACAGGACCCAGAATTTTGCTGCATACAGGAAACGGACTTCAGTGGCAAAGACAGACACTACCTCAGAGTAAAGGGCTGGAAAACATTTTTCCAAGCAAATGGTCCCAAGAAACGAGCTGGAGTAGCCATTCCAATTTTAAACAAAATCGACTTTCAACCAAGAGTTATCAAAACAGACAAAGAAGAACACTTCATACTCCGCAAAGGAAAAAAATCTACCAAGAAGAACTCTCAATTCTGAACATCTATGCTCCAAATGCAAGGGCACCCAGATTCATAAAAGAAACTTTACTAAAGCTCAAATCACACATTGCACCTCACACAATAATAGTGGGGGATTTCAACACCCCACTCTCAGCAATGGACAAATCATGGAAACAGAAACTAAACAGAGACACAGTGGAATTAACAGAAGTTATGAACCAAGTGGATTTAACAGATATCTATAGAACATTTCATCCTAAAACAAAAGAATATACCTTTTTCTCAGCACCTCATGGTACCTTCTCCAAAACAGACCATATAATTGGTCACAAAGCAGGCCTCAACAAATACAAAAATATTGAAATAAGCTCTTGCATCCTATCAGATCACCACAGACTAAGGCTGGTCGTCAATAATAACAAAAACAATGGAAAGCCCACATACACAGGGAAACTGAACAAAGCTCTACTCAATGATGACTTGATAAAGGAAGAAATAAAGAAAGAAATTAAAGACTTTTTAGAATTTAATGAAAATGAAGGCTCACCATACCAAAATTTATGGGACACAACAAAAGCAGTGCTAAGGGGGAAACTCATAGCTCTAAGTGTCTATAAAAAGAAACTGGAAAGAGCATACACTAGCAACTGGACAACACACCTGAAAGCTCTAGAACAAAAAGAAGCAAATACACCCAAGAGGAGTAGAAGGCAGGAAATAATCAAACTCAGGGCTGAAATCAACCAAGTAGAAACAAAAAGAACTATACAAAGTATCAACAAAACCAGGAGCTGGTTCTTTGAGAAAAATCAACAAGATAGATAAACCCTTAGACAGACTAACCAGAGGGCACAAAAACAGTATCCAAATTAAGAAAATTAGAACTGAAAAGGGAGACATAACAGAAACTGAGGAAATTCAAAAAAATCATCAGATCCTACTACAAAAGCCTATACTCAACAAAACCAGAAAATCAGGATGAAATGGACAATTTTCTAGACAGATACCAGGTACCAAAGTTAAGTCAGGAGCAGATAAACCATCTAAACAGCCCCATAACCCTTAAAGAAATAGCAGCAGTCATTAAAAGTCTCCTCACCAAAAAAAAAGCCCAGGACCAGAAGGTTTTAGTGCAGAATTCTATCAGACTTTTAAGGAAGACCTAATACCAATTCACTTCAAACTATTTTACAAAATAGAAACAGAAGGAACACTACCCAATTCATTCTATGAATCACACTCATACCTAAACCTCACAAAGACCCAACAAAGAAAGAGAACTTCAAACCAATCTCCCTTATGAATATCGATGCAAAAATACTCAATAAAATTCTTGCAAACCAAATCCAAGAACACATCAAAAGAATCATCCATCATGATCAAGTAGGTTTTATCCCAGGAATACAGGGATGGTTCAATATCTGGAAATCCATCAATGTAATCCATTATATAAACAAACTCAAAGACAAAAAACTACATGATTATCTCATTAGATGCAGAGAAACCATTTGACAAAATTCAACATCCCCTCACAGTAAAAGTCTTGGAAAGATCAGGAATTCAAGGCCCATACATAAACACAATAAAAGCAATATACAACAAACCAGTAGCCAACATCAAACTAAATGGGGAGAAACTTGAAGCAATCCCACTAAGATCAGGGACTAGACAAGGCTGCCCACTCTCTCCCTACCTATTCAATATAGTACTGGAAGTCCTAGCTAAAGCAATTAGACAACAAAAAGAAGTCAAAGGGACACAAATAGGAAAGAAATAAGTCAAAATATCACTATTTGCAGATGATATGATAGTATACTTAAATGACCCCAAAATTTCCACCAGAGAACTCCTAAACCGGATAAACAACTTCAGCAAAGTGGCTGGTTATAAAATTAACTCAAACAAATCAGTAGTCTTCCTCTACTCGAAAGATAAACAGGCTGAGAAAGAAATTAGGGAAATGACACCCTTCATAATAGTCACAAATAATATAAAATACCTTGGTGTGAATCTAACCAAGCAAGTGAAAGATCTGTATGACAAGAAGAACTTCAAGTCTCTGAAGAAAGAAATCAAAGAAGATCTCAGAAGATGGAAAGATCTCCCATGCTCATGGATTGGCAGGATTAATATAGTAAAAATGGCCATCTTGCCAAAAGCAATCTACAGAGTCAATGCAATCCCCATTAAAATCCCAACTCAATTCTTCACAGAGTTAGAAAGAACAATTCTCAAATTCATTGAGGATAACAAAAAACCCAGGATAGCAAAAATTATTCTCAACAATAAAAGAACTTCTGGAGGAATCACCATCCCTGACCTCAAGCTGTATTACAGAGCAATGGTGATAAAAAAAAAAAAAAAACAAAAAAAAACAAAAAAAAAAACCCTACATGGTATTGGTACAGAGACAGGCAGGAAGATCAATGGACTAGAATTGAAGACCCAGAAATGAACCCACACACCTATGGTCACTTGATCTTTGACAAAGGAGCTAAAACTGTCCAGTGGAAAATGAACAGCATTTTCAACAAATGGTGCTGGTTCAACTGGAGGACAACATGTAGAATGCAAATCAATCCATTCTTATCTCCTTGTACAAAGCTCAAGTCCAAGTGGATAAAGGACCTTCACATAAAACCAGATACACTGAAACTAATAGAAGACAAAGTGGAGAAGAGCCTCGAATACTTGGGCATAGGGGAAAAGTTCCTGAACAGAACACCAATGGCTTATGCTCTAAGATCAAGAATTGATAAATGGGACCTCATAAAATTGCAAAGTTTCTGTAAGGCAAAGGACACTGTCAATAGGACAAAATGGCAACTAACAGATTAGGAAAAGATCTTTACCAATCCTACATCTGATAGAGGGCTAATATCCAATATATACAAAGAACTCAAGAAATTAGACTTCAGAGAACCAAATAACCCTATTAAAAATGGGGTACAGAGCTAAACAAAGAATTCTCAACTGAGGAAACTCGAATGGCCAAGAAGCACCTAAAGAAGTATTTGACATCCTTAGTTATCAGGGAAATGCAAATCAAAACAACCCTGAGATTCTACCTCTCACTGGTCAGAGTGGCTAAGATAAAAACTCAGGTGATAGTAGATGCTGGCGAGGATGTGGAGAAAGTGGAACACTTCTCCATTGTTGGTGGGATTGCAAGATGGTGCAACCACTCTGGAAAACAGTCTGGCGTTTCCTCAGAAAATCGGACACAGCATTACCGGAGGACCCAGCTATACCACTCCTGGGCATATACCCAGAAGATGCTCCAACATATAACAAGGACATATGCTCCACTATGTTCATAGCTGTCTTATTTACAATAGCCAGAAGCTAGAAAGAACCCAGATGTCCTTCAACAGAGGAATGGATACAAAAAATGTGGTACATTTACACAGTGGAGTATTACTCAGCTATTAAAAACAATGAATTCAAGAAATTCTTAGGTAAATGGACGGAACTAGAAAATATCATCCTGAGTGAGGTAATCCAATCACAAAAGAACACACATGGTATTCACTCACTGATTATTGGATATTAGCTCAGAAGCTCGAAATACCCAAGATTCAACTCACAGACCACATGAAGCTAATGAAGAAGGAAGACCAAGTGTGGATGCTTCAGTCCTTCTTAGAAGGAGTAATAAAATACTCAAGGGAGCAAATATGGAGACAAAGTGTGGGACAGAAACTGAAAGAGGGGCCGTCTGGAGACCATTCCACCTGGGTATCCATCCCATGTGCAGTCACCAAAGGTAGACGCTGATGTGGATGTCAGGAAGTGTATGCTGACAGGAGCCTGATATAGCTGTCTCCTTAGAGGTCTGCCAGAGTTTGACATATTCAGAAGCAGATGCTCACAGCTAACTACTGAGCTGATCATGGGGTTCTCAATGGAGGAGTTGAAGAGAAGGAGCTGAAGGAGCTGAAAGGGTTTGTGGCCCCATGGGGGAGAGTAACAATACCAATCAACCAGAGCTCCCAGGGTGTAAACCACCAGCCTGGGAGCACATAGAGAGAAACCCATGGCTCCAGCTGTACATGTGGGGGAGGGTGGCCTTGTCGGGCATAAGTGGGAGAGGAGATCCTTCGTCCCATGAAGGCTGGACGATGAGTGTGGGGGAATTCGAGGCTGGGGAGGAGGGGGTGGGTGGGGTGGGTGGGGGCACATCCTCATAGAGGCAGGAGGAGGGGAGATGGGATGGGGGGTTCCTGGGCGGGAAGGAAATGGGGTAGGGGGATAACATCTAAAGTGTAAATAAAATATACAATAAAAAATAAAAATAAAATTTTTAAAAAAAAACCAAAAAATAAAACAAGACAAAAACTGAGTCAGATGTGGCATATTCCTATAATTCTAGTGTTTAGGAAGCTGAGGCAGGAGGATGGAGAGTTTGGGGCAGCCTAGGCTACGTAACAAATTCTATTATCATGTTCATGTGTATATACAGGCAAGTATACACACAATGTCTTGGACAGACAAGACATGACACCACTATGACTAGAGTCCATTCTAATCTGAGGTCCTGTGGCTCCTCCAGGCCCACATGGCGGCAGCAACAGTGTCCCTCCTAGAACCCAGCTGGTGTAGCTAGGCACAGGACGGCCACTTACATCTTCAGAGCACTCACAGAGCCCCCACACAAACAAGAGCACTGGTCCACACTCACCATGCTTCTCCTCATCCTCCAGGTCTCCTGACGGCACCTGAGCAGAAAGAAGAAAGACCAGGAAAGCTCAACTGTCAATACTTTCATTGCCTCTCAATAAATAAGTAAATAAAAAAAAAAAACATAAAGAAACTAGACAGCTCACTGAAAAATTAGAAAACTGTATCTACATAAACTGAAAAGCTGAACATATATTTTTGAACATATTACTAAGAACAAGACCCTCTGGGGAACTAACCATTTCAATTTCTGCGATTTCTGACAGCTGAGGGGCAGCTTCCACCACAAACTGCTCGTCATCCTCATTGTCAGAGTTCTGGGAGTCGATGATCACTGTGGAGACAGTTTTACCACTTCCTGACCTAAGCAACAAGAGTCCTTACATTAGAAGGGAGCCATCAGCCACCAGTTGTCATCAGCCCCTTGCATCTGGAAACACCACAGTTCTCAGAAAGGATCTGAACTGCCATTGCCCCAGACAGGTGAAGGGAAATCTCAGGGAACAGTAGGAACAGAGAGACTATCACTTCCCACACAGCAGACTCCAGGCTGCCCAGAGAGCTCCAGGCTGCCCCAGCCTTGCTGGCCCTTCTGCTCCACAAAGGCCCTTGGGACTGCGCTGTTCACTGGCATTGGTTGTAAGAGAGAGCAAGGGTGGCACATGTAGGCCTGTAGGCCATGTGACCCGGGACCGCCTCCTTTCACAAGGCAGCTCCCCTAGACCCAGCTACCATATCCAATGCCTCTGCAGTGTTTTCAGCTTTGGGCACCCGTTGTTTAACTTTTGTACAATTATACCTTCAACTCTTTTCCTCTTTATGCTTTGAAAGTCTTCTATCTAGAGGTCAGGGAAACACAGCCCACGCATTCTGAGGCGTCCTATAGGTAAGCACACATACTTCTCCCTTCTGCCTGTCTGGAATGCATGCTGCTCCGTGGTTTAAGGCAGTAACCTAACCATACCTTTCTTCAAAGCTGGTTTTCCCAGCACTGAGTTCTACATCCTACCAAGTCTCTTGGTACAGGCCCAAGACCCCAGCATTCCACAACCTACATACTTCAGAACCTCCTGGCTAGGCAGCCTTACCTGTCTCCCGCCAGTGTCTCTGTGCTCTCTTGTCGTTTGACCCTGGGAGGTGCTGGCCGTGCACTCCCAGGCCGAGGTATTCTTCTAAAGATATATTGGAAGGAAAAAACAGGCTATGAAACATACAAAAATCTCAAAGTGGACAGGACAAATAGCCAAGCCGGCACTAGTGCTCACTCCCACGCCACTGCTGGCATGACAGTCAGACACTCCGCAGAGGAACACCGGCACCATTAACCGAGTACAGCTGCCATGCATCAGAGCACAATAGACCTTCCCATTACTAGAAACTTCCCCAAATTGTACAATGCTCCAACTCAGGTACAAGAAAACTATACAGGTATTTTTCGCTTACTTTTCACAAATAATTCCCCACGACTCAGCACAAGTGTTGACTGGGCACCAGATGCTATGGCAGGAAACCCCACAGCTTGTCCCAGGCATGATCATACTCCCAAACCCCAGCAGAGGACACACCTGAGGCCGGAGGGAAGCTCACTGGGGACTTCTGCATTCTCCGTTACCTCCGGCTTATCTTGGCCAGCAGGCCCAGCTTCTCCTTCTGAACAGGGGACAATCCAATCAGCAATTCAAAAAGAATTCAATAGTAACAAAAATAAATTTACTCAAATATAAATATCAACGAATTCAAATATAAATATTTGAAAAGGCATCAATCAAATGATTGAAAATGTAAATGAACTCTTTTCATCCATCACTGACGAGGTTAAAACTGACAGATGTCAGACATCTAAATGTGGACATTTGGGGACATGGGCACACTCATGCTCATAGCTTCACTCAGAGCCTACAGCCCACTCACCTGTGCACTCCTCCACACAGCGCAGTGACAGAGCTCAGTCACTCACACATAAGGGCCCCAGGAGTGTGTGAGCTTCAGTTGTAAAAACCATTTGATCACCAAATACCTTTCACTTTGTCCTGCTGGGCTCAGGTTCAATTATCTACGCTTACGCTGCATGCTGTGGTTTTTTATAGTCAATCATAATTTTGCTTGTATTTTAAGACAAAGTCTGGCTATGTAGCCCTGAATGGCCTGGATCTCGCTCACGGAGGTCTCCCTCCCTCTTCCTCCCAAGTGCTGAGATTGAAGTGTGCAGGATCACCTGGCTAAAACACAGGCTGGGTTTGGTTTTGTTTTTTGTTTTTTTTGTTTTTTTTTTGTTTTCATTTTAATAAAAAGGCTAAGCCAGCAAGTCACTAATCAAAATTACTAAGACAATAGAATTTATTCTACTATTTAAAGTAAAATAAATTTATACTTCAGAAAACAGTAAAGATAGATTAGATTTTGAACATTAGAAATAGAAAGGACTCTGAAATGTGGCCTTTTCAAAATTCAAACACAGAAGCATGTATGACCCACATATAAGACTGAAACTTAAAACATAGAAAATGAACATAGATGCATCAGGTATATTTCTTTAAAGTAAAAGACTTTCACTAGAACATTTTTAAAGCACAGAGCTGAGACCCCGTTTGACATGTGCACATGCATGACAACACCAAACATGTCAGAACTGCTCACCTGCGTCACTGGGGGAATCACCTAGAGAAGAAGAGAAAGTATCAGGAAATTAATCTTTATGTAAAGAAGCCATAGCACAGAGAGCACTGAGCAATCAGGGAAGATACAGCCACCAGGTCAGGGATCCTCTGGGTATTGTTCTAGCATCTCACCACCAGTCTGTTATGGTCAACTAGAACCATAAACACTGCACATTACAGAGAGACTGTGGCCTGGCCCTGGTGACCCACACCAGCACTCAGGAGGCAGAGGCAGGCTCATCTTTGACAGCCAAGGCTAGCCATAGAGTAACCTGTCTCAAAACATAAAACAAAAACAAAAGAAAGTCTCAAAACATAAAACAAAAACAAAAGAAAGAAAAAAGTAACAGACTGTGAAGGACTATGCCACAGAGCTAAGTGAAGTGAATACTGAAGTCACAAAGCCACAAAAAGCATGTTAGTGTGGTAGCTCTGGGCCAGCAGGACCAGCACACTCAGTCCACTCTCCAGAACTGACACTACATCCACCAGCTTCCCACAGCCTGGACTGAACCTTCACCCAGGGTCCTTTCTCCTCAAGTGCTGCACTCTATGCACAAACAAGGCCCAATCAGTCAAAAGTGCCACAGGGTGGATTTGAGACCAAAGCTGCAGGCTCGGGGGGGTGCGGGGGGAAGTCTGCCAAACATCCAGAAGTCCCTTGGGTTCCAACCCTAGCACTCCCAGACAACATAATCCTTGTGACACACTTAACATCCAGGAACATGTTTACAAAAGGCCAATATGGTGAGGGGTGGGGGCACCTTACTGGAGAGAGCAGTACACATTCACATGTCTCCATAGAACAATCCTGCCTCACATGAGGACACAAGAGTGCTGGCCCTTAGGAGCAGACTCCCACAGGACATCTTCCCAGCAGCACCACAGCAGAGCTCCTAGACAGAGTAATCTGCAGGAGGCAGGAGTTCTTGAGACCACAGAAAAGAAAAATGATCAAGGACCCTTTCTCTGCAGGCCCCAGGACACCCCAATGTCACAACACAGAGTAGGGTAACTGGTCAGGGAATAGACACTACGTCAGTATGAAATTGCAGGGACCAAAATAGCAGAGGGGACCCAGAATATGCTGTAGGCAACAGGAATGAGAGACTCCACTCAATCCAAGAAGTGGCCACAGGGGCATCCTCAGGTCCTTGCCTGCCCATAGACCTGCTGTCTCCTATAGGCTAGGCTGGGCTCTGCTCATCGCTGCTCTGATCTTCAAGCCTAAATGAACACAGACCTTTTGAAATCTAGCACGATCTATGTCATCATTAGCATAAACATCACCTTTTCCAGTGCTCCACACTGAAACACTGAGCCTCCTTCCCATGACCACAGGAAGGCTTGAAGCACCTGGGGGGGGCTCTGCTCTCCCCTGCCCACATCTCGCTTTTCATGCTTCTACTACACCATGCCAGCCAACACGACGCATCTTCCTAGCCATGAACTGCGTTGGGGACACCCTCCTGTAGGGAAGGCTGCTGGCTCTCCTGTTTCCCAGGTCATCCTCAGTTCCCCACACCTCTCCTCTAGCATCTCCTGTCTAGTGGTTTTCCTCCATGTCTGCAGCCTCACCTCAGCTCCTGTACCACCTCAGGACAGGCAGCCCCTGCCACCCTACTGTCCCATGCATTCCGGGCCTTGGTCCTGACACAGAGTAACTCTCAAACACTCTGTATTTAAACTAGTTGACAAACATCATCCCTCACCTTGCTACATCCAGTAGCACAAGACCAACCTGCAGGAGGCTCCCAGGCTTTGGGAACGCCCGAGGGTGTTCAACCACAGTCCTTTGTAAGGTGAAAAGAGGCTGAAGAAACGTTCATCCAAAGACTGGAGCCACCACAGATATCATGCAGCAGCCATTTTTGGCTGTCTAAAATCCTCTGAGCAGGATAACCTGCAAGGCTCTGAGCAGTGGCCTTAGAATTTATTTCAGAGTTCATTTGTGACACCCCTACAGTTGGTCACAAATGCCACCATTTCATACTAGGGCCCAAGCAATGGTCTTTATGGGAACAACAGAAGTGAGTCCCTTGCCACATCAGGGTACACAGCCCCGGCTGAACTCTGAGAGGACATGGGTGCCTGGCAGCTGACTGCTCAGTCTCCTCCCACCAAGAGGTGTGAAGGGGTCATTCTTACCTTTCTGCTTTACTGCTGGCTCTGGCTCAGCGCTCTCCCGCCACAGACTAGCTGAGGTATCATCTGAAATACTAGTTCAGTTAGTATTGGCTTCTCCAATCCTGACATAGAGAGTTCAAACGTGGGCACGAGACTGCACCCTGAAGGGCCTGTGACTAAAGGGCTGCCCAGCACTTACACATCTGTGTTCTCCCACACTGCCACATGCCAAGGATGATGACAAGGGTAGCTTTTAAGAACGTGTAGCTCAGGGATTGGTGTAGGAGGAGAGTACCAGGAACCTGCCCAGGACCTCAGGCCAGCTGATCTCAGGGAGCTCCCCAGCCAAACAGACTGGCCCCACATCCCCACTCCTAGAACCACTTATACCAGCTCCCACCAGTCAGGCCTGAAAGCTAAGCTTCACACAGCTGGCACATCAGGAAGGAAAGAGAAAAAGGAAAATACTTTTGACGTGGTACACATTAAAGAGTCCCAAACACTTTCTGCTGATTACTAATGCTCAAGTCTCAAAAATGGAAAAAAGTTCATAATGTGTAGAAAATACAATGCTTCCAATATTAAAAGCAAAAGGGAAAAAGAGGTACTCACAGGGCAGGCTACATATGGCAGTGGGCTCAACTCTGAAAGTGACTCATCACTCAAGGGCCCAGGGAAGAACATAGTCTGCTTCCCGAAAACCCAACCATGTAACTCTTAAAACCATTCAAAGAAATAGTTGACACCACAACCTGCCATTAACTGTTAAATGACCACTCTAGTTAGGAAGAGCTGCATAAACAAGTGGTGTATGGTTTAATCAAGAAACTTTCCTTCAATTTATAAAAATTCTGGCCTAACAGCCTGATGAAGTAACTAAGTACTGCCAATGTTTTCTAAAACACAACCAAAGAATGAGCATGAAACGTTTAAGATCTAAGAGCAAGCAGGTTCAGCAGCTACAGACTGCCACTGCATGAGGGCCTTCTGCATGCTGTGCTGGAATGTGAGCTTGTGCCAAGTCCAAGCTGTGGCACTGGCCTTGCAAGTGCCAAGCATTTATGTTCTACAAAAGCCAGCACCTCCTGGGAAATGCAAACTCACTATTGTCTGTCTGTGGGAAGCCACCACACTATCAGTTCTGTCTGTCTGCTTGCCTTTATTATTTTATTAATTTGGGGGACTGGTGAATGACACAGACTAACCCAGCATCCTACCTCTGAGATGCACCTCTGAGCTCAGATATTTCACAATTTTATCCTTCTCAAGCTCTACTGGGTTTGTTTTGTTGAGTTTCATTTGCTTTTGGGTTTTGGGGGGCTGGTTTGGGGGATATTATGTTGTCTTGTATACAAGACATAGTTTGCTTAATGTAGCCCAAGTTGCTCCTAAATACAACATGCAGCCAAGGTTGGCCTTGAACCCCAGATGCTCCTGCCCCCTGCCCAAGTGATGAGATGACAAGCATTCCCCACGGTGATTGGCTTCTACTCGTCCTCTTTATATTTTTATTTTGGTTTGATTTGTTACTGGGTGAAGGGATGTGATCCATGAGTGTGAGCAAGCATGTGGAAGTCAGAGACAATGCTGTGGAATCAGTCAGCTGTCTGCCTATGCCTAGGTCCTGAGGACTGAACTTCTAATCAGGTCTCCACAGCTAGCACTTTACCCCTGAGCCACAGTTACCTGTATTCTGAAGCAGTCTTTATTACGCTGGCGCTGTGTTAGAGCTTCACAAAGCTGTTAGCTAGTAAGGTGGGGATGCTTTTAAATCTGCCACATTTTCAAACAGTGGGAAAGTTTTTAAATAATGAGAACACAGCTTGGATTTCAAATAACAAACAGAGAATAATTCCATCCAGTGTGGCTATGTTAAAGAATGTCTATATTGGTGTATTGGGTTTGGGAGCTGTCTGCTGAAGTGTTTATAGAAGATTATCAGATGTTTTTATCATATGTTGTAATCATTTAAAATTCCGCAGCTAAGGTAAAGCAGCATAGAGGGCCAGGGCACTGGGGACTTCACTGCTGTACTTCGAAGTGTTTTTGGTAACAGCAACTAAACAAAAGGAGTGAGGAAAAGTGAGCAAAATATAACAATGGCTTGATGCACAGAAAAGCCAGGAAACATCCGACTCCAGACCAGCACAGAACGAATGATGGCCCAAGCTCGTGTGTTACAATGCAGCACACAGGAAGCAGATGCTCATGGGTGAGGAGACACGGTGGACTCCTGTTGAGCTCACCACACCTGAAGTAAAATGGAAACACACCCACACTCTCTCCTCTGGCAAACCCACAGTAGTGCCAACATGTACAAGACTAGCCGGCCAGCAGATGGCTGCTTTCTCTGAAAACACGGGCCAGGCATGATGGTGCACACCTGCCACCTCAGATCCTGCAGAGAGAGGCAGAGGATCTTGAGTCCATGGCCAGCCTGGGCTACATAGTGAGGCCCTATCTCAAAAAGAAAATGAAAAAGAAGAAAAAGAGAAGAAAAGAAGAGAAAAGGAAAGAAAAGAAAGATGGAGGATGATGGGCTCCTCTCTGAAGAACGTGAACTAGAAATGAAAGGCTCTCACAGGTAAAGCACACCTCGGCTGACACCAGAACAGTGGATCTGAAAACCATACTCGTGTAAGACACTGAAGAACTGACAGCTGATGAAAAATTCTCAATTCCAAAACAACTGTGCTATGAGACTGTGCTAGTGACCATGAGAGTGGCCAGGCAGGCACAGGGCTAGTTCCTGGCTGAGACCTGAACAGTATCAGGACTCACTGGCAGAATGCTCAGGGAGGAGGAGCCTGGGGCACCCGGGAGCCCAGGCTTTGCTCCTCACCATGGTTACCTAAACCCACAGTATCAGCCCTATGACGCAGGGGCATCATAGGAGCCTAACTCTCATCACCCCATAGAGAGCAATGTGGGAGTAACACTCTGCTCACCCTACCAGGGGCATCAGGTTTCATCCTCATCTATTGAACACTCAACAGTATAGTATACACTTCTTATGGACAGAACTTATATATTCCCACCTGTAGATAAGGTTTATAGACTGTTCAACATTAAGCCTAAGAGTGATTTCAATTGATTTTATATTAATGGTTCCACTAAGCTGTCAGTTAAAAGAGATTCTAGCTTGCTCACTCTCAGAGGAGGTATCTCCATATCCACATGCAAAGAGGAACACAGAGCTTAAGAACAAGGCTCAGGAAACACCTTAAAGGCTGTTCCAGGCCAGGAGGTGGGTGAGCAGAAGAATAGGACTCGCCTACTAGTCTTGGATGAGCAGTCACAACTACACAGATAGGAGAAGCTCTCCCCAAAATAAAACACACTACAGGAGACACTCCATGTGGGCCTCTGCCCTCCACATGCTCTCATGTGCACAGACATAAACCATGCACACAAAAAGAAAACAAACTCTATAAAATCTGGTAGATACAAGGCAAGTTAAGCCCAGAAAAGTTTGCTTTTCTCCTAAAATCCAAGTTGGCATCGTGTTTTTCCTTGAGTACAACTCATGCTTCTAATTCTACAGAGTGCGGTGAAAGCCGCAGCAGACTGCAGTGCCCCGCAGGGAGGGTGGGCATGCACACTTCTCTTCCTCTCCAGCTTTAACTCTGCTGAGTGTCACGAGCCATGGACATGAGCTTTAAAGCTTTAAGCCTTAAAGAATGTTTTATATTCATAGTTTGGTGTGTGCACATGTATGTCTGTGTAGGCCATGGCACACATGTCAAGGTCAGAGAATGACTTCTGGGAGTCAGTTTTCTCTTTCAACTATATGGGTTCCAGGATCAAACTCAGATTGCCAGGATTGGCCAAAGGTCTCTTTACCTGCTGAGATCTCAACGACCCACTTTTTAAAGCCTTACAGTAGAGAGTTCATGATGACACAAAGTGGAGCCACTGGGGATATAAAATGTCGCCCATCTACATTATCTTAGTGAATGTCAGCAGCAAGATGAGCAAAGTGTCTCGACTTACACTGACATGTCATGCACAGACACTACCTGTCAAACATATGCAATGTACTTATTATGTACATGAAATATACAGAAAGGCAAGCTAGGCATGGCCTACATCTGTAATCTCAGCATCTGAGATGCTGAGGCAGGATGATCACTGTAAGTTTGAAAAGAGCTTGGGCTATAGAATGAGATGCTGTCTCAAAAAAGAAAGAAAGGAAGGAAGGAAGGAAGGAAGGAAGGAAGGAAGGAAGGAAGGAAGGAAGGGAAAGAAAGAGAGAAAGAAAGAAAGAGCAAGCAAAAGAAAAGAAATCAGGTGGGGGAGGAGCTACTCGAAGATTTACTTCAAGCTGACTTAGTAAAATTATCACATAACTTAGTAAACTAAATCAAACTAAACAGGAAGTCATCTAATTCTCAGTATATAGGGGAAAAATATGAGGAGCATTAAAAAAAAGTGCTTAGAATACAGATGAGCCATCACTATACTGACATGGAAATAGACTGCATCAAAATGGTGAAGAATTTAGACTGAAGAACAGTTTCTCTCTTAGCGTTGACACCGACATGGACTGTTTCAGATCGTACCCAGGAGGAATCAAACTGAAGGATGCATTTCTCTTACCTATTTCTGAAGTGGTCGTTTCCTGATCTGGTTCGTCATTTAGTCCCGACACTATGGAGTCTAAAATCTTAGCTGAAATATTATCCTCTTTCCTTCCTGACATAAAACAGTTAACAGCAGATTAAAATGCTGTGAGGAGTTTTGTATTTGGGCTGCTTTAGTTAGGATGTTTACAAGGCCTATTACCAGGGTCACCGACAAACTGCCTTTTCCCTCAGTGTTCAATTCCTCAGCTGCCCAGGACACCCCTCAGAAGGCCAGACAAGATCCCCCTCTCCTCACCAACATGCCCTCTCCAACTTTTCTCTTGTCCCCCACCATCCAATATGAGTCTTAGTACACTCTCTTCTCCTCCAGGCATCTGGGTTGAAGACTATCTAAAGGCCACACTGTGACCATCACTGCAGACTGAGAGCGTTCATCTGTGGTCTCGCCTCCTGTTTCCCTGGCATGCATACAGATAGGCACACCTCCACTTGCTTCACGTATCTCAAACTGGACTGTCCCAGAGCTCCTGGTACTGACACCTAACCCTCTAACCAGCACCTCCACCCCAAGTCTCCCAGAGGCTCTTCCCTTTGAGTCCCTTCTTTCCTAATTGGTGGTGTCCAAACCACCATCTGTAATAGCAAATCTCCATAACTCTCCCTGCTCCCATTGTGGCTCTGGGGCTGAGCTGCCATTACTTGTCTATCCTCAGTCACCATCATCTCTCAATGCTATAAGCTTCTCAAAGTCTTCCAGCCTCCACGCCCCCACCAGAGCCAAATCTCATCTCCACCCTGTGAAAACTGCACAAGGCCTTCCACTCATGCCTGCTGTCCACACAGCCCAGAAGACAGTTTCTCAGGGCCCTGTCAGCTGATATGGTACCTTCTCCAACAACTGTCCCTTTCTCCACTCTAGTCTACAGTGGGGCTTCTACCATGCATACAGGCAAGCCTGCAGCCACTCAGGGTCATTCCTCAGGGCCTGCTCCAGGGCCTTTCTCCCCAGGCAGCTGAGCAGATGCCTGGCTCAGTGAGGTTCTTATCGCCTGAGTCTCTCATTCCCACTTCTCTTGGGTTTATTTTCCCTCAAAAGAATTATCATGAACACAGGCTTACACATCAGCAGTCTCTTTATACGTTGAATTCTGCCCAGGAACAAGAGGAAGGTTCAAAAAGGCAACCTCAGTCCATAGCTAACTTAGGGCAGGACCCTCACTGGGGTAGCCCTGACAAAAGCCCACAGTCCTGCCCCATCTACTCTAGCCTGGAAAGACACTCTGGGGTTAAGGTCTGTGGTCATGAAGGGGCAAGCCCTGAGTGGTCACCCTCCATAGTCAGAGATCACCCAGAAGCACAGGACCAGACAATGACTAGTTAGTTCCACTTTCAGACACACTCCCCAGCCTCACTACTGCTCATGAGATCTTACCAAGCTGCTTCATGCTATGGTCCTTCTTAGCTTTACGGTAGGAAGCCTTATGTTCTTTTTCAGGGGAAGGGTTATTTTCACTGGCTCTAGAGTCCCTTCTTCCTGACATGAAATTGCACAATGGAAATAAGTGTTAAACTTACAAATGCTGCACTTACCAAACAAGTGAACTAAGATGAATTCAGTAAGTTCTGATATAATGAACCGCTTCTGAGTTCGTAAGCATCATATTCTCCTGTAAGTCTTTTAAGTGCTATAGGGATTCCAGAAAGGCCTAGGAGTCTAGTCATGCCAAATATGTGTGCCCAAATCCCTTGTTCTTTATAGTGGTTGCAAGGCTCATGATGTGAACCAAACACCCACATCCTGTGCTTGGGCACTTCTGAGTCAGGACATTTGCTCAAATGATGACCCACTCAAGAAAGGCAGAATGTCTGCCGAGGTGCCAGCCTTGCTGAGACAAGGGCCTCTGGTGAGCCAGTGGGTAGCTAGTGAGACTAGGAAAATAAAGTCCACTGAGCTGTTGCTAGCTCAGTGAAGGTTATAGTCATAATTCTTCCAAGTCCCTGATGGTGAATTCTCTTGGGGATTACAGAAAGGAGGATCATAGAGAAGGGAGAGAAAGATGGAAAGAAAGACAGTCACACACACACACACACACGAGCATCTACAAACTAGCAAATACTAGAAAGCAAGGGCATATGCAGGTCATCCCAGCTCCCAGGAGGTTGACGATGCCTGCTAAACTACCAAGTGTATGTGAAGCTGGCTACGTAGAAAGACCCTGTCTCAAACAAAGCAACCAAGAAAAAGCGGGGTAAGGAGGGAAAATAAAATTAAAACAGCACAAAGAATCAACAATCACCTCAACTAAAAGACACTAGTACATCACACACACAGAGACAACCAACTTCCCAAATTACAGAAGACATAGTCAACTCAAGTCATAAAGACCTGAAAAGTCATCCTGTTTACTTTATGGAAAGAGCAAGTGCAAGTGATAAAGAAAGTTGTTTTTTTTTTTTTTAATTATTGGGAAGAAAAAACAAATAAAACACCCGAGGCATATCTTTAATGTGTGCACTCAGGAGACAGAAGCAGAAGTATCTCTGAGTTCAAGGCCAGCCAGGGCTACATTGTAAAACCAAAACAAACAAAAAAGCAGTTTAAATAAAACTTCTTTTAAAAGAACAGTGAAAGGAGGTGGGAGTTAACACAAAACATGGAGTCCTGGAGGCCTGGGAAAGGCAGTTACTCAGGATGCTATCTTGAATAATTCAGAGCTTCAGCTACACCATAAATTAAAATAAAAGATTAAATAATAAAAATTCCTGATAAAACCAGTCTTCACATCTCCAACCTTTAGACATAACACCAAACCTACAAGCAGCTAGAATATTAAGTAAGCCCTCAGGCAGGTCAGAAACCACACCCAGTGAGACAGGAGACGAGAACCTTTAAATGCTGCAGACTTCCTAACAAGGGCTGCATGAAAACAAACCCTGCATCATACTCCACAGAGTTGGGCCAGTGGAACAGGTGCATTGGTGCACTAGAGAAAAGTGCTGTCTCACCAGGAATCATTCCCACCAGGACCTGAAGCACTGGCAAAGGGTGGGGTGAGGGTCCACAGAACCTGTGACTGAGACCTAACACCTCCCTCAACTCGTCAGCAACTGTTCTTATAAGCATCTCCCACAGACAGCACACACAAAAAAGAGGCCAAAAAGGCACAAAATATCACCAAAGCATCATGAGCTGGGCAAGAAGTGATTGCTGATATAACAACCCCAGGTGCCATACTCCTGCTGCATACAATGTCACAGGTTAGGAGGAAGGTGATTTTTCTAGATTTTCTAGAACTACTAATTGCTCAGCCAAAGCCATTTTGCACTTCAGTTAGTAAGCCTCCAACACTTGCAACTGTCCAAGGCGCCCCAAGGCTCTCTGTCCTGGGAGCTCAGCCCTCAGCATGATTCCTTCTTTAAATGGATCAGCATCTGCCTGTGGGCAACCCGTGTCTGATCTGCAACAGGGTCAAACTCTTTCTACCAGAGCCAAAGAGCCAACGAGACCAAGATGACTGACAAGGAATTCTGAAAAGGAAGTTGAATCCACCCTTCAGATTTCAACAGGTTCTGCACTGAATAGTATGAGCTTGCACACATATGCACATGTCCCTGTGAGCATGGGCAAAAGCCACAATCTCCAGCTGCAGAGCTGACTCCTCCCCAGATGTGGCAGTGCTGTGCTCCCCAGGGTTCCCATCTACTACACTCCGGCCAGGCACACAAAGACCAGCCTACGTCTTAGCTATGTGCACGGGCAGCTTTGCAGTACCTTCCAGTGAATTCTTGGATCGACGTTTTGATGCTTTTAACATCGAGGACCTGGATGCTCCCACAGAAATGTCAGCCTTAAAGAAGAAAAAAAAAAGAGTTAGTTGGCACATTGCACAACAGTTCTAACAGAACATACTTCCCATGCTCTGCAGGAAGAGTGTGAAGAGGATACATCCATCCTTTGGCTTGAGGGGTTGTACCAGAGGGTGTGACCTCACCCTCACCTGAGGCGAGAGGTAGAAGACACCTCTCCTCCCCTCCGTGCCCTGCAGTGAGATTTGTCACTTCCTATGAGAAACAGTGATAGTACTATTCAGAGCATAGCTGCTACACAGTCCTGTGGCTCAAGCACAAGATACTTGTTGAATTGTGCTATGTGGCAGGTAATTTCCTCACTGGCTCAACACCTCAGGGGGTAGTATTTGCAGAAACTGAGATACCACAATGTTAATTAGCAAGATAGCCCTAGAGGGCCACCATCTTAGATGCAGCCCATCACTGATCAAGATGTCACTACAATAGATCTGTACAGAACTCGGCAAGTCAGAGAGAGAGCCATTATCCTACCAGCTATAGGAAACATATTGCGGGGTCCCAGACCCACTTGGCTCTCCCTAGAAGCCACCCTACCCTTTCCCCAGATGACAAACACATATATGTTTGTCACCCAAAGCTGTGCATAAGCCTGGAAATGTCCACAGAAAACCATCCCACCTATCCAGCAGGTGATAAACCAGACGTATCATAGCTTTTGTAACAGAGCATCCATGAGACAGCTCAGTTTAAACCTACCACCCTCTCCTCCCAGCAGACCAGACAGGATACAGCACTCACAGCTACAATGCAAGTTTAAATTAACATCTCCTAAAACTGTTCTTCAGTAACTTGGAAGATGACCCAGTGGGTAAAAGTGTTGGTTGCAAATGATCCCTCATCTCAATTTGCCAACTTTATAGATGTGCAGTCATCTGGGAAATGGGCTTCCTGGCATGTCTGTGGAATCGTCTTGCTTAGATCAATGAGATAGAGAGACACTCCCCACTCCCACTGTTCGCAGCACCATTTCATTTGGTGAGTTCCCTCAAGCCCCTGTGGCTGTCTACCCTGCTGATGGATTGTGAGCAGAACTAAACCCTTTCTCCGTTATGTTGCTTTTTAATCATAGTAACAGAAAAGTAACTAAAACACCATGCAAGCTTAAGGACCTGAGTTTGGAACTCCAGAACCCACATAAGAGCTGGAAACGTAGCACAGGTATCTACTGCTCCACTGTTCCTACAGAGAGATGGGAGGTGAAGACAGGAGAACTCCAGGAAACTTGAACCAGTTAGCCTGAACTATACACTAGAAAAACAACAAAGACCCTGTCTCGAATAAGCTGGAGGCAGAGGACTGATACCAAGGATGTCATCCAATCTTCACACAAACATCATGGCAGACAAATGGCTACATTCACACACACACACACACACACACAATCATACACAGACACATATATCACATGCATACATAACACATACATACACACACGTGCATTTGTACACATACACATGCATTTGTACACACACGCATACATCATACACATACACACACACACATCACACACACACACACACTATTGGCTTTTATTATCAACTTGCCACAAACTACAGAAACAAGAGAAGAGGAAACCTCAATTTAAGGATAGCCTCCGTCAAGGGGCAGGTGTGATGGTGCACACCTCTACTCCCAGCACTCAGGAAGCAGAGATGGGCTGGTCTCTGAGTTTGAGATAACCTGGTCTACAGAGCAAGTTCCAGGATAGCCAGAGCTACATAAAGAAACCCTATTCCAAAAAAGAAAAAGATTTCTGGATTGCTGATTGATGTGGGACGCACCATCTCTGGCAGGTAGGCAGAGACTACAGAAAGCAAGCTGACTGAGAGTCTGAGAACAGGGCAGGAGTCAGTATTCCTATAAGGTCTCTGTTTCGGATCCTGCCTCCACGCTTCCTTGGCAGACAGTGATGTGGAAGTATAAGCCAAATAAGCCTTTACCTCCCCTAGGTTGGTTTGGTCAGTGTTTTATCATGGCAACAGAAAAGCAAACAGAGACAAACAGACAGACAGATGGATGGACACAGACAGACAGACCGTTTGTTTAAGCTTTACCTCCATCTCTGCTTTGACATCTTTGAAAGATCCATCTGACAACTTTTTAGAAATCTCCCCTGAGGGCTGGAGAGATGGCTCAGTGGTTAAGAGCACTGACTTGCACTTCCAGAGGTCCTGAGTTCAAATCCCAGCAACCACATGGTGGCTCACAACCATCTATAATGAGATCTGATGCCCTCTTCTGGTGTGTCTGAAGACAGCTACAGTGTACTCATATATAATGAATAAATAAATCTTTAAAAAAAAAAAAAAAAAAAAAAAAAAAAGAAATCTCCCCTGAGCTTGATGACTATAAAAAGAAGAATCCTTTTTACACTTTAGAATTATTAAAAATCTGTAATACTAATGATGAAAGAAAACCACCAAGATACTGTACATAACAGCGAGGAACAAACAAGACAGTCTCACACAGGAGCACATTGCCACTCCAGGTCTGAAGCCATGTTATTAGAAGTCCCAAGAGTATTCCAAGAAAGTTGCAGGAGATCTAGAAACATTCTCAGGTAGGAAGGGCCAGGTTACCCACGATCAGAAGAGAGAGGTGGTGTGACTGTAAACTCACTACTGGCTTCTGAGTGTCTCCTAATAATGGAGCAACTACAGAATGGAAAAAGTGAAAACATGGTCAGGAACCATATGAGTAATGTAAATGTCATCTTATTCTTTAAATCTGTTCTCTGAAAGATCTGGAAAAAAGGAGACAGACTGTCATCACAAAGTTCATGGTAAAAGTATGGAATGGGGTCACCATGATTGCTGAGTTCAGGCCAGCCTCACAGCCTCACAGAGGAGCAATGAGGAAGTGGCCAGGCCCCAGCAATGGCTGAACCAGCCCCTGGGCTCTAATGCCACCCTGGAACCCTGCTAACTGCACACATGCTTGCACCTTTCTTCCCACCAGGCAGCTTGAGGCCATCTCTGCCTCCTCCTAGACAGTAAACAGCAGGGCTGGGAGCTGGCAAGAGCTGGAGTGACTTAGCAAACACTAGGGGGTTCCTTTGTGAGGAGCCTTGAAGTAGCTCACATCTGCAGGAACTTCTGGCCAACTTCAGTGTTGGTTTCCCAGACCCACAGAGCTTAATAAAGGTACCCCCAGATCAACAACAGAAGAGCCAGACAGACAAAACCACAACGAGAGCTCAGCAAACTGAACTTCAGTTGACTGTGGTGCTTGGTTCTTATCCAAACACCCGTCCCTGGAACTGCCTTTCTCTGTTTGTCACTCACAGCATCAGCAGCTCCTCCAGTGAGCATGACGTGGAGATGCTTGCTCTGGAGTCATACCTGAAGAAGATTGTCCCTATGAGGGACTGCCTCACACAGTTAAAATACACCAGAATATACTAGTGCCTCTAAAAACACAGCTCAATGAAAACTATTTTCTTAGGCCACTAAAAAGAGGTAATGATAAGATATAGATGATTTCCGAAACTCACAAAGGAACCCAGGTTACTATGACACAGGTACATTATGACACCAAGTACATTACTCCAGGACGTGTGGGGAGGTTAAAATGTGACTAAAATAGCAAATACCCAAGCGCCCAGCAGAATGCTAAACACGACTACCAATGAGACCACAGCAATCTCACTGCACCATACCTCGAGAAGGGAACATGCTGACAGCCACAGACAGGCAGTGACAAAATACCCGCATGGCTGATCCTACAGAGTCCACTCCTCTCACTAACAGCCACACTGAGATGCAACCCAGAACAAGAAGACTGCCACAGGCAGGTTTAGAACCAGCCCAGATCTCGACTGCCCTCTGACCAGCAGCTGCAGAGCAGGTAGCTCTCAGCCCTCTACGATGCTTTGTGCATACTGGGCTACCAGGTTATCTGGAAAAGGAGTCCGGACCTAGGAGGCTGATCTCCACTGGACTCAAGAGTCACCTGGGAGAGGAGCCTGGACATGCCACGAAGGACTATCCGTATTTAACTGAACTGGGAAGACATGCTGACTATGGCGAGCATTGCTTCATGGGCTGGGGTCCCAGAAAGAGAACAAAGGAAAAGGTGAGCTGCTTCCTCAGCCAAGTCTCTAAGCCTGCTGTCATGCCCTCTCTACCATAGCTGACTACACCCGGGAACTACAAGCCAGAAGAAACCTTCCTGAAAACTGTTTCTTGTCAGGTATTTGTCACAGCGATGGGAAAAGTGACTGGTGTGCAACCCACGCACAGGGCCAGTCCCAAAGTCACCGGCCTCAGGAAGCAGTGAGAAGCCAAAGGAATCCCTGGCAGACCTTAATTTTACCTGAAATGCCATTACACAGGAATTACAGGGAAATGAAAGTCTTCTGACACTTAGAATGTGTGAAGACCTTTGACAGTAGCTCTCATCTTTAATAAGCTCAGTCATGCTCCAAGGAGGCCACACACACAGCTGATGCCCACTGTGTACGTGGAATATGACACAATGCTGCACAAAGGACAGCACGCGAAGGGCCTTTGGATAATCAAGCAAGACAGAGCAAGGCCTCAGCAACAGCTCCTGCTCCCAGCTGCTGCTTCCTCTACAGGCCTGGCAGGGAGCTGCCAACCTCTGAGGACAGAAGACATTCAGCACTTTAAACACTTCATAACCACTACCAACTGACCAACACCATCCGAAGACCCAAGACCGGAAATGCCATCATCCCTCGCCAAGCTTGATTCTCTGCTTCACCTAACGTCTTCTGCATACCTACTATATGCCAGTTCTCTATTAGCGAGCATCAGTAGCACCCACAGTGTGTACTTAAGGATATCTTAAACATGTTTCGAAACTCACTGAAGAATACTGAGTTAGATGGTTGAGCTACTATTAATAAGCGACAAAAATATTTAAATTTTTAAGAACTGGGCTAATAAAATGGCTCAGTGAAGAAAAGCATTTTTCATGCAAACCATGCAAGTTGAGTTTAATCTTCAGAACACTGCCTAAAGGTTAGGAGAGAACCAACTCCACAAAGCTGTCCTCTGGCCTCCTCACTGCGGCATGCATATACCCACACACACACTTCGTGCCCCATATATAACAACAATTAGAGTATAAACAAATAAATTTCTTCAAAAAGACACCCAGCAAGAAACTGGTATCTCTTTGCATTACTTCAAGGAATCAAAATAGCCACAATTTACAATTCCAAGATGACAGATGTCCTGGCTGGTTTTATGTGTCAACTTGACACAAGCTAGAGTTATCAGAGAGGAATGAGCCTCAGTTGAGAACATGCCTCCCATCATGAGATCCAGCTATAAGGCATTTTCTCAGCTAGTGATCAATGGGAAAGGGCCCAGACCATTGTAGGTGGTGCCATCCCTGGGCACCTGGGTTCTATAAGAAAGCAGACTGAGCAAGCCATGGAAAGCAAGCCAGGAAGCAGCGCCCCTCCATGGTCCCTGCATCAGCTCCTGCCTCCAGGTTCCTGCCCTGCTTGAGTTCCTGTCCTAACATCCCCCAATGATGGACTAGGATCTGGAAGTGTAAGCCAAATAAACTCTTTTGTCCTCAACCTGCATTTCGGTCATGGCGTTTCATCACAGTAACAGAAATCCTAAGTAAGACAACAGGTTCAGGAGCTGGAGAGAGGGCACTGTGGTTAAGAGTCCCTGCTAACGCTTGTAAAGTGGAGTTCAGTTCTCAGCACCCCACACCAGGCAGCACATAATCACCCATGTGTCTATAGCATACCTGGCATACATTCACACATACACACAAATAGAAAAAATTAAAAATAAAAAGTATTTTAAAAACCAAAGGCAGGGCAGATGCTGTTTTACATAGTACAGTATACTCTCCATGAACAGGCCTCGGAGCTGGAGAGATGGCCCTGGTTTAGGAGCACTGGCTGCTCCTGCAGAGGGCCTGGGTTCAGTTCCCAGCATCCACATAGTAGCTCAGAACCTCCTCTAACTCCAGCACCAGGAGATATGATGGCCTCTTCTGGCCTCCAGGGCCTCCTGCACATACATGATGCACATACATTCATTCAAACACATACATAAACATAAAAATAACGAATAAATAAATTTGAAAGAAAAACAGGAAGTCTTGCTCGTGACCATACCTTTTTCTCTGGCTTGTCTGCATCTCTGCTTTTCTCCCTGTCAGGATCCCGGGTATGTTCTCCATTCTTTGATTTCCGCCGTTCCCGGTCTTTTCCCTTGTCACGATCTCGGTCTCGGTCCTTCACCCTCTCTTTTTCTTTCCCGCCCTCGCTCCTCTTGTCCCTCTCCCTGTCCCTTTCTGCCTCTCTGTCCCGGTCTTTGTTGCTTCTGTCCCTGTCCTGCTTGGCCCGTGCTCTGGCTTTCTCCCGCTCGCCATCTCTGTTTCTGTCCCTGTCGGGGTCTCTGTGTCGGTCTCTATCAGCCTCCTTTGTCTTCTCCTTGTCCCTCTCCTTCTCCCGAGGCCTGCTGTCCTCCTTCAGGTCCTCCTTCTGTTTGTGCTCTGCACTTCCGCTTCTCTCCTTGACCTCAGAGCTTCGTTTATCCTGAAGAGAAACAAGGACGGACATGGCCGTCGTTTTTACTATTTGACTTTAGTGATACAGACTTGCTGTGTCAGAGATGTGCATCTGACAGCTCACCTCTTTGTGTGCTCTGGACTCTTCCTCCTTCACATTCTTGTTGTCGTGCTCTTGTGCTTTCGACGTCCTCTGGGGCCGCCCTCTCGAGTCCCCCTTCTCCCCAGCTAAGACTCTCTTCACTGCCTCATCACTGGAGAGCTGGTTGGCCATGCCAGGGAAGGGAAAATGATGTTAGCGAGCACAAGCACTGCGAACGGAGCACTCAAGGACAGCTCACTAGACAGAGTTCTTTCTACCATGAGGGACATTTGGAGATAGACTATTAAGCAAAAATGTTAGTGACAAAGCACGACGTTCGAGAGCCACTACTAGCAACACGCAAGCTAACAATCCTGTCACCCCTCTATCCGAATGTCAATGTGGACATGCGTGTGGCTCTGGTAACCCACACTACACTACAAATGTCATCAAACAGAATCCCAGGGTCTAATGAGCACACACCAATTAGTACAGCCATTACAAAAGAAACGGTAAAGCTGCAGGCATAACGAGAGAGCAGTGGCGCCTGGGACCCACTGGGGACGCAGAGTGTGCTGTGCTCTGGAAAACAGCGTGGTACTCCTGCCACTAGCACACGCACACTGATCAGCACAACCCAGCCACAGCACTCCTGGGTTTACACCAAAAGAATTAAAGGCTGGTCTAAAGGGACAGTGGCACTCTGCACTGAGTGGCACTATCTATGACAGCCGGAATGTGGAAGTAACACAGATGTCCCTTAACAGACAAAGGGATAAGCAATGTGGTCTATACTCACAGCAGAGTATTGCTAACCAAGCAGGGAGAAAAGTGACCCATGATACACTGTGATGAACTCTGAGGACTCCATGCTAGTGTCATACTGCCTCATACATGGACCGTCAGACTCACAGCAGCAGAGAGGGGAAGGTTGTGACTAGGGTGGGAGGAAGGGAAGGTGATGGGTACAGAAAGCAAGTTTTGCAAATGAAGAGTGGACCACAGTGAATGGTCACACATCACTAATGTATTCAAACTACAAAACTTATGCCGACTGAGATAACTGTTACCTGGATTGACACAACAGAAAACTACCTCAAGACTCATCAAAAGCAGATTCTGGCTCCCGAATCCCTCACAGCCCCCAAGGGGACTGAGCAGCTCTGAGCAGCAGTCCTGCCCACTCACAACCCTGCTTCACAGCTTCACAGGCATGAACTAAGAAAGTCTTCCCCACCAGGTCTGCCGTCCAGGACAAGCTGTCTACCAGGAAGGGCTTCAAAAGGCAGGCTTCCACCTACCTTGTTGAGGCAGCACTTGCCAATCAGCTGAAGCAGCTCATTGGTTCTCTCAGGTTCGTGGCCGGCCACAATTCTGGCTGGTTTGGCTGCCAAGGGTTCTCCTGACACCATCATGACCACATCTATGGCCTTCTGTAAGAAGCTAATTTTTGCATCTTTATCCTGAAATATTTCCACATAAAAGACAAACATTAAAGTAAATACTCTGGGGCTAGATAAATGGCTCTTACAGTAATTAAAAGTGTACAGTGCTATTACAAAGGACCCGAGTTTCAGTTCCCAGCAGCACATCAGGTAATTCATAAGCACCTATAGCTCGCTCGAGAGGATCTGACATCCTATTCTGGACTCCTCAGATACTGCACTCACACATTAACATATACATAGACATACACACATAGTTTTGTTTTGTTTTCCTAAAATGGAAACCAAGAACTCGGGAGGGAGACAGCATAGGGCTCAGCAGAAGAGCTGAAGGAAGGCAGTGGTAGATGAATATGATCAAATACACTGCATGAATGTGTGAGATTTTCAAAAAGTAAAAATGTTTTAAAATAAAATTTTGATTTTAAATACTTTGAGGAGTTTGTATATTCAATATATTCAATAGGCCCAGAACGGTGCCTTTTTATATGGAAAACTAATTTTAGATACATAACAAATTCAGAATTTCTGACTGTTTATAACCTTTATGAACTTTCATTGATTACAACAAAATCTACTCATTCAAGCTTTTGATGCCACTAATGGGATAGCATCAACCTATAAAACAATCTGTTTTGGGCTTTTTGTTTCTGAGGCATGGTCTGTGTGGCCTAAGCTGGCTTCAAGCTCCTGTGTCTCATGTCTCGGTCTCTTCAGTGCTAGTGCACCACCATGCCTGGGCACTAATCCTGATTTTTTTTTCTTTTTGAGCAGGGTCTTGCAGCCTTGACTGGCTGGGCACTCACCGTGTAATCCACGCTGGCCTTGAACTTGCAGGAATCCTCCTGAGTGTTGGGCTTATAGCTATGCATCCCCACAACTGATTGTAATACTACATTTTTTTACATTTATGCATGTATATGTGTATAGATGTGCATACATAAACACGTGGCTGCAACGGTGGGGATTGTTACACATAAACATGCGCCCGCATGCGCACACGCGCACGCGCGCGCACACACACACACACACACACACACACAGATCCACCTCAAGTATCAATCATTCCTCGGGACACCATCTATTTGGTGTTCTGAGACAAGGTCTCTGGGTCCCAAAGCTCACCTACTTCCTTAGACTACCTGGTCAACAAGTACTCTCCAGCTCTGGGATTACCAGTATACACTGTCACACTCAGCTTCTCACTTGGGTGCTGGGGGACATAATTCAGGTCTGCATGTTTGCATGGCAAGCACTTTACCAGCTATCTCTTCAGGCCCAAATTCTGCTTTCAGTAGATAAGTCTAGCACAGTATGCAGTTGCCACACATGAGAAAATGAAACAAGAGTGGGTACACATAACTCAGCAATCAACCAGCATTGCATTCTACCCATCTATCAGCGTAGACATAATACACACACACACGAGTGTGCAGCTTGTAAAATGTGCTCTATTCTGTAAGCTAAGAGTGTGGAGAAAGGGAACTCACAGCAGACCTACCTTGACGTTTTCTGACTTCATCTCAGCATCTGTATAGAGGCCCTTCATGAAGCCAGTTATCCTAATCACCTGCCAAACACAGAAAGGGACCATCATACACAGCTCACTCTGCAGCCCCTTCACTGACCTCATCCACTGAACCCTGCTCTCAGGAGAGGTCAGGACCCAGTCACACCTACAGCTCTAATCGCTTCATCTCCTTCCTCAACAAAGGTTTGATGCCTACTAAATGCAGTGCCTGGGCTTCAGCGACCAGCCAGCTATGAGACAGCAAAGACTATGGTCACTGAACAGGTGCTAGGAGGCTCACAGTAGGGAGGGAGGGTCAGGGGATGCTGGAACAACATCCGACTGAGGCCAGAGACTGGCAGGGAAGAGCTGGGAAGCACACACCAAACAAACGAAAACCACCACCAAGTCCAGGCCAACAAGTTCCATTAAAGGGATGAAAGCCACGTTGGGTGGCAGGAGTCTGAACCTGAGGCCAAGATGGTCTGACTCCAGTCTCTTTGTAGCAACTTGGGACCAGAAACCAAAGCACTCCAAGGAGACACAAACAGCTTTTATCTAGCAGAGGACCTGACCACAAAACCCTTCCCCAGTACACTCAGACCAAGCCAGGGGAATGGAGTCCAGAAAGAAAAGGAGCTACTTTGCCTGGGTATCTGAAACCAGAAGTTCCAGAAGAGTCGTCATTTCTACCATAATGGAGTGTTCTCCCATCCAATCATATTTGTTCTCTCCCCACAGAGCCTCCTCCTACAAGTACCCTGTAGCCCTAGTTACCCCTACAGAAGGACAATAATTTTCTGTTCCTCCATGCCCCTACAACCAGCCAGAGTTCTGCATTCTCAAAAGTTCATGTTACTAAAAGAAAGTAAGACAGGAAAAAAAAAAGACAAGAATGTAAATGTGGTATTAGAAAGAACTCGTATGACCAGACTTGTGGTACATAGTAACATGTTACCATGGGTACAGGAGGCAGGCTTTAAAAACATCAGCAGCAAGACATCCCCACGTGAATGTCACCTCCTCTGGGATGGGGCTACAGCTACTTTGGCCGCATCATTCTAGTTATTAATTAATCTAGAAGAGTCCATCTCACAATAAACTATAGGCCAGACACATTGCTGGGCTGGGCTGGGCTTGTGCTGGGTCATTTTGAGGAGACAGCTGGGTGGCACATGGACCATCAGGGGATCCCCATTTAACATTCCTGAAACTGACTTTGCTTCAGGTTTTCCCAGGACCCTGGCAGTTTAAACTGTGAGCAGCAACTGTGACAAGTGACAATCATGTCTGAATTGAGGCTTAATGAAGAAACAGCTGTGGCTAACTCATAAAAGAGACTTGAATGCAATAGTCAGGGAGAGTAAAGAACCTTCAGGGAGGCACTCTACCTCTGCTCTGAAGAAACTTTCAAGTACATCAACCCTGACACCCTTATCAAGGAGGGGACAGCCAAAGTACTTATCTTCATACCAGAACAGACTGGCTTCACCACTAGATTCAGTAGAGTCTAAAAGAAAAGGAGCCCTCACTCTTCACCTGTCTACCTGGTCCACAGACATCCCCCACGTCAACATCCCTCTTCCCCCATAAGCCCCATTCCATTCCTGAGTGATCTGAAGATGAGGCACACTCCCGGGAAGCCATAGGCTGATGGTACTAACAGAATACAACACAGGCTTAGCAGTCTCCACTGTGATAGGCCGGTGCCATGATGCCTAACTCTTCGTGACTCCTCCACTGTTGAAGAGTGGCAACTGCCTGCTTCACAGGGCTCTCCACACAGCCAGTCCCTTCCTCAGACCTTCCAGGATAGGCTATGAATGCCTCACAGTCTGGGAGAGGAGACTCCCAGGCAGCAGAGCCCTTTGGGATGTGGGTGGATTCCAGATCATTCTGGACACACCTAAGATTAACAGACAGGGCCCCATTCCAAGACAGTACCCATTACAAGCTAAGGTAGGTGGACCAAATGAGTAAAGAGAAGGGTAGACTACAGTGTCCAACCTACTAAGGCAACAGGGACAACAGTCTGAGGGACAACACCAGGGGAAGAACGTCAGCTCTGGAGACTTGCTTCTAAGTCCCAACCACACCCCAAGTTCCACAGCACCCTGTGGAGTACCATGCCAATTGTGCACATCCCCTTCAGTGATACTCTGGGTTACCCAGAGCCTTGACAGACTGCACACAATTGTGACTGTTGTACAATGTTATATATCTCATCCAATGTAGCTCCCTGGAGATTCACTAACAAATGGAAGACATGCTCTAAAGAGACACAATGGTAAGTGTGGAGGGAAAAAAGATGAGTGTTTCTTGAGGGGGCCCAGAAGCCTCCTTGTAAGAGGTGGTAAAGTACGGCAGGTTCCAAGACCTAGTGGGCCTGGGAACCTAACATGGAAGGCACCTTGGCCTTTGAAAGCTCTTACCCAGGCCCCAGACAGAGACCTACACCCTACCCAGGCCTCAAGTATAAGCACAGCGCAAATCCATAAGTCCAACACACACTCCAGCTCCTAAGAGCAACTTGACCCTGGGCCTAGACCCTGTCCCAGGGCTCACCCTCAAATACCGATGTCACCCCTGGCCTCCACCTCCTCCCAGCCCCACCTCCTGGCTCCAGCCCCCTAACCCACAGACCTAGACTCTGACCCGGGCCTTATATCTCCACCCAAACCACTTGACCAGCGCTCTCTACTCTACCCTGACTCCAACTGGAACCTAACCCTGACCCCGACCTGGACCTGCACCTCCACCCCTCATCGCACTCTCAATCCAGTCAGCACTCGGAGCCTGATTGTCACACAGACCTCACCGCTGACTCTGATCCTCACCTTCATCTGAGACTAATCCTCATTTCGACTCGAACCCTCATTGGCATCCTACACCGCCCCTCACACTACCCAGTCCTTCAATGCTACCTGGTCACTCACCTTGACCCGACCCTAATTCTGACTCTCATCCTAAAACGAATCCTACTCAGACGCGCATCCTACCTCGACCCTCACCCTACCCGGACCCTCACCCAGACCCTCATTCGGTCCCGAACCTAACCCTAACCAACACCGACCCTTACTCCGTCCTACACCCTACCCCAACCCTCAACCCGTCCCGCCCCTACCCGGACTCTTAACCCGTCCCGCACTCTACCCCCTACCCTCACCCCACCTCAACCGGACCCTGACCTAACCCACACCAGCCCGCGCCTACCTCGGTGATGATGTCGTGCAGGTAGCGGAACGGTGGCTTGTTGAGCAACTTCTCGGTGAGCGGCGGCCTCCGGATCACCTTGCCCAGAGCCTCCTGTGTCCGCCGCACCACTGCCGCGTTCATGGCGCTGCCGCCCGCGACCGCTCGCGCCCCTTCTCGCGCGCCGCGCCTCTGCCCGGTGCCCCGAGATGCCCGCCGTCCCGGCGCGCCGGTCTCCCATCCCACAGTGCACCGCAGCTAGCCACTGCGCCTGCGCGTGCCACCAGCACCCGGTCTCTAGGGCCGCGCGGCCTTGGCAACGGACGCGCGCCCGGCCCCGCCCATCCCCTCCGGCCTCTCTAGCTGCGCGGGAGGACACGAGTGCTCCGCCTCTGTGGCTGCTCGAACCTAAGCCTGCTCCGCCAGCCACGCGCATCGCAGGGCGCTGCACAGCACTGCCCAGAGACGTGGCCATCCTGTGTGAGAAAAAAGCGACCATTTGTTTCTAAAGAGAGCATTTACAGTAACACCCACCAGGAAAATAACACTTCACATAAACTTGAAAAACGGACTTGACTCCTTTCATCCCTTCATTCCGGTTCCCTGTCCAGCACCCCCTGCCTTAGGTAATCTTTAAAATGATGTCAAGGGGAAGGACTGTGTCCTTCCACAATTTCTGTGCCCTTAGTTCACCAGGGCGGGCACAAAGCTGTGAAGTACCTAAGCCCTTAGGTTAGGATGCTGCAGCTTTCTGCTCCACACACACCCCACCTCACCCACACCACCACCCAAGGCTATGTAGGAGATGCCTCTTCAGGATCCGGTACTGCTGCTGTGCTGGAGATCTGGAGTTCCTCCGCCCAAATTGGTGGAACCTCAACTAGAACGTTGCCTCTGATCTGCCTACCATGGCTGCAGGCTGAGAGCCAGAAACTTCTTTAAGAGCGGTCTCACTCTGAGCCCCAGCTAGAGTTAGTTTCTGGGTGGGCAAAATTCAAAGAGCAGAGGTCCTGTCTCTAAACATTACCCCTAAGAACAGACCCACCCAGCTCCTACCCTAGAAAGTTCACTCTTGGCAGAATCCTGCTGTAGGCGTAGAGTTGAAGTTGTGGCTTGTCTGTGATGGTGGACCAGATGAAAGGAACACAGGTATCACTTAGAAGATACCTCTGACCTTAGGAATTCTACTGAGGCCCTGGAGCTTAGCCCCCCCCCCCCCCAATGGAGGGCCAAAGTACAGGTTTTGGCTGCTCTTTAGGAGTGCTAACCACCAGAAGACCTCCAGCCTATCTGGGTATCAACGTCTCTGAGAGGATCCCGGACAGAAAGTATTGTCAACCAACCTTCTGGGGACTGACCTAGGGGAGGCAACTTTGAAGAGTACAGTTCCATCTTCCAGAGCCTCACCCCTGCCTCTGGTCCAACTCACCCCTCCATACTGAAGAAAGAGTGGACAACATTCTGGTCATCAAGAAAGCAGGTCCCAGAAGGTGTAACCATTTCCTGCCTTCAAGAAAGATATCTGGAACCGGGACCTCCCCGGGGAAAGGAGGCAGAGGCCAGCATGGAGCCATTGGGGGGTTAGCCGAGTAGGGGCTACTAGCCTAAATCACCCCCTGAGATGAAGCAGAGAACAGTAAAGAGTCATTCATGGAAGAAGGTAACTGTTTAAGAATGGGAAAAGGGTTTCTAACTCAAAAGCCTGGCAGGGGAGGCTTTCAATACGAGCAGTTTCTGAGTGAATGAACAAAATAAGGATGGCTGTGACTCACCCCAGGAAACAGAAGCCACAAAGCAAAGTGGCTTGCAGGCCCTACCTCCCCCAGCTGGGAGGCAAACATTCCCAGAGACAAAGACCTGAGGATGTGGAACCTCTCATCTGCTGAGAGCCCAGGATGTGGGTCAGGCTTGGGCAAGGGCCTGGATTTGGGTAGCAGGGAAGGGTGCAGGAGTCATGGAGAGGGCGATAAACCTAGCTAGCCTACAGACAGAAAACAGGATGTCCACTCCATCTGAATTTCAGGCAAAACAGTTGATCATAAATGTATGGCAGATGGTTTTTTTCATTCTTTTATTTGAAATTCAAAACTGAATACCCTGCAGCTTTTGTTCTCTAAGCCTGTGAGCCCTGGTTGTGGCAACCAAAGTGTGTCCATGGAGCGGATCACGCAGCAGAAACAGGCATCTCCCACAAGTGTGGCGGCTCCCGCTTCTCAGGTTAGAGGTACAAAGCAAGGTCCCCACTGCTAACGTGCAGTCTCAGATGCTACACCTCCATTTCTGAGCTTCATGTCAGTCTTGTGGAAACTGGAGAGAGGAAGGAGGAGGGGAGGGAGGGAGGGAGGGAGAGAGAGAGAGAGAGAGAGAGAGAGAGAGAGAGAGAGAGCTGGAGAGAAGCATGTCCCTCTCACAAAGTTCTGCCTGGATGTTTTTCAGGATTTGAGGGTCTGGATCCCATCACCCACAAGGACCTCTGAGCTGCTCATACCAGTTCCCAACATCTTTAAGCTCTGCTGACCACAGCTTCTCTTCAGCGAAGGAGAAAAACTCTCCTTTCTGGGCACACAGAGTCAGGGTCAAGGGCTACAATAGAAAAGTACATTTGGAGGTGTCGTAAGCCCTGCCCTCTTCTGAGGGGAAAAGCCAGGGAGGGGAAAGCTTCCAGCTTTCCTAGGAGGGCTGAAGTGTAAAGATGAGAGCAGCTCGGTGGTAAAGCATTTGCCTAGCATGTGTGAGGCTTTGAGGCCATGTTCCATGGCCAGCAGTGTAGTGCAAAGAGAACACAAGGCTTTTCAGGTGATTCAGGGAGCTCCTACTAACACTCTGGTCACCCACCTTCTCTCAATGCAAGTTATAGTTTGTATAATTGTTTTACTTTTTTTTTTACTATGTCATTCATGTGTTTATTTTTTTCTTTTGTTTACTAGGGTAGATTTCACAAATAAAAGCCATATAGCTTTGTAAAGCACAATATGACATTTTGTTATTTATATACACAGTAAAATGTCTCAGTTCGGATGATTAATATGTCACTACCTCCTGTAGGTGTCATTTTTATGATGAGGCTATTAAGATCTAGTCTCTCAGCGATAATTTGATGCGCAATGTGCCATTCTGACTCATAGCCACTCTATTATAAACATGAAGTCTCCTTTCACCTTATACAACTAAACGTCAGACTCCTCCTACAGCCTTGACCAACGCCCATTTACTCTGATTCTGTGAGTTCAACCTTAAGTTCCATGTGTACGTAAGATAGTGTGACATTCATCCTCTGTGCCTCCATCCCCTAAATCAGATTGACCTGTGGGCATGAGAGAGCTGGCTCAGTGATTAAGGGCACTTACTGACCTTCTATATGACCCAAGCTTGGTACTCAGGTTTTGTGGAGCTTTGGGGATTGTGCTTGAGATTTAAAAATTAAGATGTGGTGACGTCTACATAGTTTAAGGCTTGCAAGATGACTCCGTTTGGAGACAGGAGTTGATTATAGTTAAGTGATCACTAGAGTAGACCTGAATCCAAATCCGGTCTGATTGGTGTCCTCTTAAGATTAGGACATGGATACAGACACACACATACAGACACACATACACACATATACACTCACATACACACTCACATTGATAAGCATATAATGTCACTGGGAGAAGATAGATAGATAGATAGATAGATAGATAGATAGATGCCAAGGAGACGATCCTCAGAATAAAACCAACCCCATCAACACTTTGACTTTAGATACCTAGCTTGCAAAATTGAGCCCTCAAACCTGTAGTTATAGCACCTCCACAGGTTGTCATACTCTGTAAACTAGAGCATCCCGATAGGCTCTGTGTGGTCCATTGTCTCTGGTCTACAGCTATCCTGAAGAACTCTTTTTTACTGGGTAGATAGTGGAAAGGTGTGTTCAGCAAAGTCAAGCCAACCTCCTCCAAGTCACAGAGTGAGACTGTGCCAGAACCCTGGCGAAAGGCAGAGCTTCAAACAGTAACAACAAGACCCAGCCCTTAAGGAACTCAGAGGTTAGGACAGGACACACTGCCCATGCTTCAGGAACTCAGCAAATATTTGCGGCATGCTTCACGCATGAATGAATACCACATAATAAATACTTGCTGCTTATTTGGCCTTTGCTGTGTGTCAGGGCCCATGTAGAGTTGGTCTCTGAGACTTGCCCAAACCTGCCAGTGGAAGGATCACTCTTTCCACTTTCCAGATCATGTTCCAAGGTCACACTGGCTGTTTCTATTCACGTGTTCATTGTAGAAGCCAGATGGGGAGATGGATGGCAAATAAACGGCTCATGGGCTGATCAACAAAAGTAAACAAACTCTATCTACAGCCTGGGAGACATGGGTCTGTTGGCGTAGCAACCCAGGCCATGGTCGATCTTCCACTGGACTCTTTGGTCCTGAGTCAACCTTAACCAGCAGGAGCTCAGGCTTTTTATATTCTTGATTTTCATAAAGATACATCCTTGCCATTTTCTGAGCATCAAAAGTAGACTGTGTTTGGACTGGAGAAATGGCATTTCCAGTTCCTAGCACTCATGTTAGGTAGCTCACAACAGCCTGTAACATCTCGGGGACACATCTTGGGGACCAAGTGCCTCTGGCATTCATAAGTAACTGCACTCACATGTACATACCCACCTGAAGACACATACACCTACTATAATTAAAAATAATAAGAGTAAATATTGTTCTGGTTTGAGAAATGTTGTACTTTGGGCATGTGTGTCTTTTCCACCAGGTTCCTCCAGTGTGTCCCTCTGTCTGGGTAATCTTGTCTGTGGTATGCCTTGCAGGCCTAAGGATGAAGGCAAGAAGAAATAAAAAGCAGGTCCCAAGCCTTCGCAAGTTGATAAAAACTAGTAAAGTGAAACTTGAAAACAAACTGAAAAATAAGCAATTTAAACAACAGAGTACAATCAAGAAGTACTGAAAAAAGCAGAGGAAGCTAAGGTACGCTGTAAAAGATGCTGTATCTAAAAAATCCATTCCATTGGAGGACCCAAAAAGCAAACAACCAGTTAAAACGATGGAGAGGAAAGAGGAAGAGAAGGGAGAGGTCAGTCCTTTAGATATGATGGATGAGGATGACTTACAGCTGATAAAAGATTTAGGACAAAAAGCATCTTT